CTTAAAATCTAAATAATTTGAACTCGCTCATTTTAACACTATGTATATATATATTTTTTTTTACAGTGTATCCACATCTGTCCAGTCATTCTCACCACGTAATGCAACAAATATGAGGTTTTTAAATCATTACTCATGCATTTGTACTAGTGGTCATCCCCCCTATTTGTATTTCCTTGGCTCCTCACTCCTAACTCCTACCTCCTCCTCCCTTCCTGGAGCGATACGCGTCAGTGAACCCAGTGGGTTAATAAGTAATGTGTTATATATGAAGCTATAGGGGCTTAGAGACACCGCTTCAGTCAAGCACAAGTGCACAAAGAAATCAACCATATCATAATGAACACGGACAGGTGAAGTCAACTGAACTTTGGTTTGGATGTTAAAGGTGGATTGTGTAACTTTTCTGGTGGAGGGTCCGTCAAATGCTTTTCTTCAGGAAAGTTGTAGCTTTGTCTGGAATGTTTCACAGTATGATATTAAACCTTTCTATTTTCACTGAAGATCAAACCGGACCAAGTTACAGGTCAGATCTGTGGAGAGGCGACCTTGCTTAGTCAGAATCCACGTTTTTCTAGGTATTTTTGAGCTATAAAACCAGCTGTAATTGAATAAATGTAATGTAGTGCTGTTTAATATTATACTGTGGAACATTTTAAGCAGAGCAAAGACATATCCATAGAAATGAGAAGGTGACGGTCCCCCAAAATCCGTATATATAATTCATTCATTCGTTTTTCAATATAAAACCAAAAATAAGAAAACGAAAAAACAACTATTTTCTTCATTATTTGGTTTTTCAGTTTTTGATTTTGTGTTTAAATGAATAATGGAAAAAACAGCTAATGACTGTTTCCTGTTTCCATGTGATACCTGACTTTTGCACCGCATGCGGACTGAGACCAGGACTTAGACCGGTACCAGACCAGGACTGAGACCGGGACTAGGACTAAGACCAGGACTAAGACTGGGACCAGCCAGGACTGAGACCAGGACTGAGGCCAGGACTGAGGCCAGGACTGAGGCCCGGATCATTCATTAGTTTTTCAATATAAAACCAAAAATAAAAAAACGAAAAAACTATTAATTTCTTCATTATTTGTCTCCAAAACCAAAATGAAAAAACAGACAACGCCCGTTTCTCATTTCTTTGTGCTTGAAATGATGGTACGTCAAAATCTGCAGCTTTTGTAATTTGCGATTTCGATTAATCTTGCAGCCCTACTCCACACAACTAGGTAGTAGATACTTAAGTAGTATTTTTGTAGAAATGAGGAGCCATGACAACCATACAAAAATAACCCTGAAGTTATAAAACATCCATTTTCCTTCTGATCCCTGCAGGTTACCTTTCCATTATATTTTCAATCACCGCGACAAGAGACAGGACCATTTATGCTTTATTTTTGTATCTGAAAGTGAAATAAGTTCTCCCCTAAATTGTGTAGCTCTCTGAACCATTCCCAGAAATGATACTGTGAAATATGTAGTGCATTTTGATATGATGTAACAGATAAAGTGTCTACAATAAGAATATAAATGTGTGTATTTAAAAAGACGTGTGAGCCTCTAACCAACCCCTAGTGGTGAGTGTGAAAATTACATAGGTGCAATACAAAAAAAAGAATATCCAAGTAAAAATTTTAGTTAAAATTGCTTGAACTCAATATATTTACAATAATTTGAGCCAATTTAAGTACATCATATTTTTTGTGTAAATAAGTAAATATAATACATTTCTAAGTGGTTTCAATGTATGTAATTAATGAAGTCAGATTGTATTTAGTTCAAGCACAAATTTTTACTACAAGATAATTTGCCTAAAAATAGAAAATATGAATATATTTGAATAGACCTCATTAAGCCCTATAATCTAGGTGAAACTATACGTATTTTAGAACATTTTAAAGCTTTGTCTCTTAATTTAGGTAAGAGTTTAATGGTTCTTAAGTAAAGATAACTGCAGTATAATGAGTTAAACCTGCTCAAATGTATATTGTACTTTTCGGACTATAAGTCGCACTTTTTTTCATGGTTTGGGTGTTTCCTGCAACTTATACTCCGGTGCCACTTATAAGTTTAAATTTTCACACTGACGGCTGTGACAGGCTCTAGGCTTGTGTACTCCTGTACCACTGTCACTTTGCACTCTACTGCACATGTCGGCTGCAGAAGAAAGAGAAAGAGCCACTGTCCTGTCTGGGATCATGTCAGTCGATTGCACTATTACTTCTGCATCACTGACAATTTAAAATGTAAACAAACATAAAGACAAATGAAACCATCCTGTCAGGATTCAGAAAGGCCGGAATAATTCTAACTGGAACCGATACCTCCTTTACCTCCAGAGGTCAGAAGTGACACCGAGGATGAAGAATTTAATGGATTTAGTGATTTGGAGTGAGATGGAGAGTTTGGTAAACTTGTTCTGTTGTTTATGTTATTGTTTATCTGAAGAACTGTTCATATGTGATGTTAACAGTCTGTTGTTCTCTCTTCTATTGTTATTACTAGAACTTGACTTTCAAAATGAAATGCCGGTTCCTGGTCTCTGATTTTATAAAATAAATTTCTCCCAAAAAGTGCGACTTATCGTCCAGGTGCTACTTACATAAGTTTCTTTCTTGGCTGGTGCGACTTATAATCCGGTATAATAATAGTATAATATGGTACTCATCTAGATCATCGTTTTTTTTTTTGTATATGTGTCTGTGGTTAACCAAGACAAACTCTCCCATTTCAAAACACCATAGCTTTTCTGTGTATTGTTCTATTTGCATGACCCTGTTTGCTACATTTCCAGTAATGTGTTACCGGGGCACTGAGTGTTGCATGCTGGGAGAAAGTCTAAAGATGGAGTGCGGCTATGAGGCTGTAATTTAGCAGGGAGGAGGTGAACTGGAAATCAAATGTTTGTCTGTGCTAAGTCCCGTCTCTTGTTCGCTCTTTCACTTTTACAACCATCTACACTGCAAAAAATAGGAACCAGGCTATGACTTAAAATGACTTGAATTCAGAATCTTGATTTGAGCCATTTTGACTAGTTTGGGCTTATTTCAAAATACCTCTTGCAATTTTTAACAATTTTAAGGTATGAAAACTTGAAATTAGGTTAACTTTTCTGTCAAATAGTATATGGCTTTGTTGAAAAAATATACTGAAACTATGAACACAACAACAATCCTATTTGTAAATCATAAATATAATAATTTTCCCATATTTAGTTGACTAATAAAAACTAAATTAACAAAATTGTCATTAAAGTTATGTCATTTTTCTCATGTTGCAGCTTTGCCTGAAATGTTGCACAGTATGGAATTAATCTTATCTATATCCACAGAGATCAGTAGGAGACAACTAGGTCAGATCTGTGGAGAGACTGACCCGCTGGCAAGTCAGAATACATGTTTTTCCAAGATATTTTTGATCATTATAAACATCTGTATTCAAATAAATGTAAAACAGATACTCTTGAACAACATGTAAAGCTATTACAGAAAAGTTACATAGTGTACCTTTAACTGCAGCCCTAGAAACCAGTTATAAATATAGTTAATAATATTGCTTTTCACAAACTAATACGCAAATACATGTTAATTAGTCAAACATACTCAAAATTCTGAATTCAAGTCATTTTAACACACGTTGAAATTCATTTTTTTACAGTCACCAACATCTACCCTCTTTCTTACAATCATCCCTTCATTTATTTACCCGCTAAACCCACGTGCTGTTTCTTTCTCTCTTCTCTCTCTCATTTCATTTTGTCCTGTGTTTGTTTTCTGTCGCAGAGGAGCTGAGGAGGAGGCCTGGAGCAAAAAAGCAAAGAAATCTTATACATTCAGCGGTTGGTTGCTTTCAGTTATCAACCCACATGTGTCTAGAGCAGCTGAAGTTCAGACAGCCTTCGAGGTCTAGCCACGTGTCACTGCAGAAATGTGTAAGTGTGTTGAAATGACTTTGATTAAGAACATCTAGATCTCAGTAGTTTTTACTTATTTAAATACATGCATCACAAATTTCGGACTTCCAGTTATCGCGCAGTGCATACTGGGAAGGATCCTCTGAAAAACTGAGCATCATATAACCATGTTTGTTTTCCCAGTGGGATGCGTCCATTGGGATTCAAGTCTTTTCTAGTCTTTTGAGCCATATCGTCTTTGTTTCTGGTTCTGATATTGTCATATTTTAGTTTTGGGATTCGGACATCATAATTGTGTGGTTGTTGGATGTCCTAACACCGGAAAACGGCTCAAGAAATGGGCTTCGGAAGTTTGCAAACTCCAAAAATGCAAAAGGGAATCAGATGTGTGTGACTGCAAACCTCCATTCAAACTGTTTCCCTTCCCAACGGAATTGAAAAATAGTGAAAGGCGAAAGCGATACGCAGTATTGATCCACAGGAAGGACAAAAAAGGAAACCTCTGGCTGCCTAAGAAATCCTGCCTAAGAGTTTGCAGCAAACATTTTGTATGTAGAGCACCATCAAAGCGGGATCCCATTTGTTAAGCAGAGGTACAGAAGACAAACAGGCTGAACTCACACTTTCTTATTCTTGTGGTTTTACAGCAACATCACATCTTGGTCACCTTGCAGTGGAAAGGTGTTTCTTGGTGAACAGCTGGTGCCTTTCGCGTTGACTTTTTAAATTCATAACCGATGTTGAGTGTTCCACATACAAAATATTCGCTGCAAACTCGGGATGATTTCTTAGGCAGTCAAAGTTTTCCTTTTTCATCCTTTTTGTGTATCAATCCTGCCCATCGCCTTCACCTTTCACTATTTTTCAATTTCATTGGGAAGGGAAACAGTTTGAATGGAGGTTTGCAGTCACACAGTTCTGATTCCCATTTGCATTTATGGAGCAAACTTCCGAAGCCCATTTCTCGAGCCGTTTTCCGCTGTTAGAACATCCAACAATCACACAATTACGATGTACGAATCCCAAAACTAAAATATGACAATATCAGAACCAGAAGCAAAAGCGATATGGTTCAAAAGACTAGAAAAGACTGGAATCCCAATAGACACACCCACTGGGAAAACAGACATGGCGGTTTGATGCTCACTTTTTCGGAAAATCCTTCGCAGTATGCATTACGCGATGACTGGAAGTCCGAGATTCGAAGTCCGAAAAGTTACCTATAAAATATTAGACAGGTACTTTTGTTCTTCTTTAAAGGTCACTATGTACATTGCACTATGGTTATCTCATGAGCATATTATTGCATTGCCTGTAATGTTCCACAGTATGACATTACACATATCTATCACCATGGAAACAAGCAAATCTACGCTACCAGATCAAGTTACAGTTCATATCAGAACAGCAAAGTGGCGACTGTGCTCCAAGAAAGAAGGCATGCTTTTCAAGGTATTTTTGAGCAAGAGAAATATAAAAATACTGTGTTTCCGGAACGTTGCAGGCAAAGCGACATCTCCATGGAGACAAGCCTCGAATAGAAAAGTTACATAGTGCACCTTTATCAGCAAAATAATGGAAATAAGATCTTTTTTTCAGCTGAGTGTCATTAATTCAAGTCATTTTAACTAGACACATTTTTGCAGTGTTCTCATTGAGTTAGGTGCATTTTCGTTTTACTTCATCAAAAACCTTGTATAGATTTACAACGGGAGCGTCAGCATTCAGCGGCTCCAGCACGTAGACAGATCCCATCCAGAGTTTATAGTGTTCCATCTCAGTTTTGTCAGTCACGTGGGATAAGGCTATTAGCTGAGTAGTATTAAAAATATAATAAATTAGTGGTGTCCTTTCACTTCCAGTTCAAGCAGGTTTGCATTTAGTGTTGTTTTTTTTTTCAATGCTGTAAAAAAATTAAACAATGAAATGTAAAAACTCCCAGAAAATCTTTTGTAATGGTAAACAACATCTAGTTTTGATCCTTGTTAAGTTCATGTTGGATTTCCAAGAGGTCCAATGACGAATTTCTCCACAAAAGAATGTTTCATATGAGAAAACTCCAACTTGTGTCCAGAAGTTATTTTGTGTTTTATCAAAATTCCAAGAAAATATCCAGTTTTGATCCTTGCTTTTGCTTGCTTGAAGAAATGACTTCATGCCATCTTGTTGCAACTGCTTTTTTTTTCTTAAAAGCATTTGAAATTTAAGAACTTTTAACGTTGTCCGATATATGTTTTGCACTTAATGGACAAATCCTGAAACTTTTGAAATTTAGATTCTTAAATTTCTGCGTCTTCTTAGCAATAGAAATTACTTTGTTGCACAATCCAATATGTTTTTTTTTCCTTCTCTTCGCAATCATTTGAAACATAAAAACTTCAAATGTTGTCCGATATATATTTTGCATTAACTCGACAAATCCCGAAATTCTTTGACGATTTTCAATGCTCAAATCTGTGCGTCTCTATAGCAACACAACTGACTCCATTTTGCTTTTTTTCTAGTAGTTTCTAGCTCTAGTTCGAGTTCACGCAACATTTTACTAACAGAATTGACTTTTCTTGCGCAATCCAAATACAGTTGTGGTTGAAAATTCAGGAGATTTAACTTTTCCAGATTTTTTCAGACAAATTATGTGTGTTTTATTTAATTTTTTTTTTTAGTTTAAACACATCCATATTCATACCACACAGTCTGGGGGTCATTGTTGGGGTCGGGAGATGCTGGCGTGCTTTTTGGTCGTTCAACTGAGCTACATCGCGTCCGGTCGCCTTCTTTCTTCTGTGGCGCCTCCCCTCCTCCTTGATCCTCGTCCAATCGCGGCGCAGTAACGGCTCTCACCGGCGTAACCATGGCGACCTCTCCTCTGTGGTAATTCGCGCCGTTTCGTGCTGTTGTAGTAGTCGTCGTTGTTCTTCCTCTTTCTAAGTATCTGTCGTTTTGCAGGTTGAGAGAGGTCGAGTGGTGGATGGGCGTGTGCAAAAAGCTACTATCTCCGTGATTGGTCGGTCCGGCGAGACGTGCAGAGAGTGGGCGTTCCCTGGCGCTTGCCCCTCCCCCCGGACGCCGGACGACCACATCCGATTGGCCGGAGGATCCTTCGTTACCACGGAAACCATCGGGGCCGTTCGAGCGCAGCAAGTCGGCCGAAGCCAAGCTGAAGGTCCTGCTCAGTGATTGGCTGCTCCTTTGAGTGACGGTTTGGCTGGAGGCGGGGGATTGGCCGACAGGGTGCCGGGGGGAGGGCTTTACGCTCTGCCCTGGCCTCTGATTGGACGACTGGACAGTGGGGGTGACGTAGCTGGTGGGCGTGGTCTGTTCTCGGCCAGTGGGAGCGGAGTGGGCGGGGCTACGGGTGAAATAGTCGGTCATCAAGTCCTCGCGGCTTCCTGTCGACACCTGAAATAAACAAAATATCGAAATGAATTAAGTTATGGTCTTACAACTCAGTGTTTGAAGTTAATTTAATAGACTACGCTGGAAAGATTTTACTCACTTTGTAAATGATCCAAACTTAAATAAATAAAATGGTGTAAATAACCTAAAGTATAATTTGTCTTGGTTAAAATCTCTTGTGACATTTTTTTATTATTATTTTTATATTGCACTACTTTCTGTTGTTAACCATTAACTTACACGTTTATGTTTAGCGCTTTTATTTTGAAGGGTTCATTTTCGTTTAATTACCTTGACAATGAGAAGGGAAAAAACATTATAGGGAGCAAATGTACACATATACACATATTTTTGGTACTGGTCTCTGAAGAGGCACAAAGGTTTGTTATTGATTAAAATATTTCTTTTAAATAACTTTGTGTCTCTAGCTGTTCTCGTTGTTGATTGATGTTGTCAAGATGAATGTAAATAATAATCAAACTTGCGTTGAGTTTTGTGTATGCGTATTTACACCCTGTATTTTGTATTCTTTTTATCTCTTACGGCAGATTGGAGGATTTATTGCCATTAAATCTAAAAATCGCCAGTTCAAGTGTCAGTCTTCATTCAGAAGGATACGCTACAAAAATAATTCATGGCACTCAATGTGAAATGAAGGGCAATATCACATAATGCATTAAACAATTTTTCAGTTCAGTTCAAGTTTTAGTTTTTTTGATGGACTCTTCCTTTGCTCTCCACGCTCCCACTCCCCTTTCAGAGCTACATATATCACAACATAATCAGCATGATCATCTCGCTAATGAAACTACAGCACATCGCTTCAGGTTTGTAAAGTTGCTGTGTACACTTTTGTATCCTGCTTTTGTATATTTATCATCAGGGTATCCCCAGGTTTGACTGCCCCAAATTTAAGACCTTTTTTAAGACCACTTAAATGAAAATTAAGACCATCATCACACCCATTATGCCGACGAAAAAAAACAACCAGATCCAATTCTAATAATGACCGGCCAACTACTGCATCTAGAATCTAAGAGCCTCTGTGGATTAAACCTACACTTCCCCATGATCCATCCAACGTCTTGATTTCACATTATTGTTTTTCCCTCCCTCCGTTTAACGTTGCACTGCAGTCTAGTTGAGTATACAAAAAAAAAAAAAAAAAAAACAGGCTAAAGAAATTTAAGACCTTGGTGAAAAAATAAGACTTGGAGAACATGATTTAAGACTTTTTAAGCTTTAACCTTTATTTAGGATCATGGAAGGAATTTAAGACCTTTTTAAGACTTTTAAGACCCTGTTTATAGAAACTGGCTGTGTGGGAGCATGGATGATGTAGGCTTGTGGGCGGAGCTTTGGACACGGTCGTAAAGTAGGGTTTGAATAGTGCCTGGGAGAGACCTCTAAAATACAAGGACAGTGTTGGGGACTAACAGATTACATGTACTGGAGTTACGTAATCAGAGTACAAATTATGAGTAACTGTATTCAGTTACAGTTACTGTTTCAGTGAGTGGTAATTGGATTACAGTTACTTTGTTGAAATAAATGGATTACACAGTGGTATTTTCCTGTTTTTACATTTGGGGCTATATCCGTTTTTGTTTTTTTGTTTTTTTTCTCCGTAATTCCACTCATTGCTGGAAACTAAACCAGGACTAAACCAGGACTAAACCAGGACTAAAACCAGGACTAAACCCAGGACTAAACCCAGGACTAAAACCAGGTCTAAACCAAGATTAAACCAGGACTAAACCAGGTCTAAACCAGGTCTAAACCAGGATTTAACAGGACTAAATCATGCTGCGCAGACGTGTTTTCTCCTCGTCTTCTATCAATAATATTTTTAATATGGTTAAGTAAAGTCTGGACATTTCATTTTCTTTTAGCCGACAAAACATCTTACGTGAGGATTTCCTCGTCTTTGCTTCTCTACAGCAAATCAACTAATCCAAAGTATTCAGATTACGTTACTCACTTTAAGTAATTTAATGGATTACGTTACAAACTACATTTTGGTGTGTGTAATCTGTAATCTGTAGGGGAATACATTTTAAAAGTCACCTTCCCAACACTGTACAAGGATGACATCTAAAACCTCTTCGTTCATGTTTTTGATGAGGGAATGTTATAACATGGTAGAAAGTTCCAAAAATTAGCGTCATATTCCTTCTTTAACATCACAACATCACCATTTTTGTTACACATCCAGTGAACGCAAAACATGCAGAACGAACGAGACCATTAAACGTATGTTGATGAATGTTTGTGTCACTGCAAACAGGATTTATTCTCAGACTCATTCAGAGCGGCTCACACTTTGAAGTCTGTGGAGTCGCTGGTGTGAAGTCTGTGCTCAGGTTTATCCTCAGCAGTTCCCGCTTTCATGCAGGGTGTGAATCAGTACTTTTATCTTTTTAATTTATAGTCTAGCGCATTTTTAACATACTTTTCATAAAATGTAGAAGGAGTGGGTGGACAGTATGGGTATATATGGATTTTAAGTAAATTACAGAGTAGTAGAGATAGGTTTGGAGAAAAAATAAGGTAGTTTGTAATTGAACTTGAAAAACCTCTTATCATTTTACTTAATATACTGAAACCATTTAGAAATAAGTTGTCATCACTTAGGTTTAGTAAGTACCGTATTTTCCGCACTATTAGGCGCTCTGGATTATAAGGCGCACTGTCATTAAATGGTCTATTTTCAAACTTTTTTCACTAATAAACCGCACCGGACTTTAAAGGAAACACAACAGTGTGATGGGTGAGTGGTTTTGTTTGTTTGGTTCGTTCACGGTGACTCTGGGCTTTGTTCAGTTGTGGCGTGTAGGGAGGGTGCTGTCTGGGACCAACGGATTGTCAGCGTGTTCGCAGTGACTCAGTTGTTCAGTTGTGTCTAGAAGTGGCACATTGCACTCGCTTTTTCGGTTCATTCCTCCGTTCCGTTCCTCATCGGCGTGGAGTGATGAGTGTGTCTGCGGGTGGTTTTCGCTGTACGGTCGCTGTCTGCTCCGTGCGTGTTTGTGTGCGCTGCGGGTGGTGCGGATTTGTAGTTTACTGAAGTCGTGCTGGGACACCCGAGTGGATTTTTGTATAGGGCGCTCTAGATTGCGGGGCACGCAGTTGTTTTTTGATGGGGTTGGAGGCTTAAGAGCGCGTCCTATAGCCCGGAAAATACGGTAAATACAAGTAAAATACTCAGATTCCGATTTTCAGATTTTGAGTTACATTATTAGATTCTAAAATAAATGGCAGATGTAACAGTATTTTTGTGCTGAGTAGGGGTGTACAAAAATATCTAAATATCAGCAAGAGTATTTATTGGTATATTTTACTAAATTTTGTTGTTGCAGTTCTTGTTTAGTGGAAGGAAACTTTTTTTATGCAACACATTTGACATTTTCACTGTTTTAATGATTAAAATTTGTGTGTGTTACATATGAACTTTGCACAAGAAGTGGTTTAACAAAGACTTTTAGTATCACAGACATGATTTAACCTTTATTTTTTATTGAACCGTATTGAATCGATTTGAAATATATCGAACCGAAAGCTCACTGTATCGAGATATGTATTGTATCGTGGCCTATGTATCGACTTATGTATCGTATCGGCAACTTCTTAATGATACCCAGCCCTAGTGCTCAGTATTTATCATTTGTACATTTTCTTACATTTTCTACCCGGAAACGTTTATTTTTCTGTACTACTACGATAAGATTTGAGTTCACTTCTGTGACTGACTACAGCTGTTTCCTGGAGTGTGTCAGTGTCATTTAATACTTTTATTTAATCCGTTTATCATTTACATTTTATTCCGCAATACATCTCACTTCAAACTGTGTTAATGTTACAGGTCTGTTCGATCCAACTTTTATTTCTTACAGTGTCATTAATGGATTGATTGTGTTAAACTCTTCTTCTCCACATCTGGTTGAGACAGTGGAATGAAGCTGCTGATGAGTTGCAGGTCACGTCAGGGACAAAGAGAAACGTTCTGAGATGAGTAACGGTGGATGTGTTCCTTAGTCATTTACGCTAAGCTCAATTTTTAGTACAAGAGGTGGGGTCTGTGTTAGTTCTTGTAATTACTCAGCATGCATTATCACAACCGCTGAGGTTGTCGGTTTGATTGCAGCTCTGATAAGCAGCGTCTTCTAGGGCAAAAGGAATGTCTTTTGTCTTTTTTGTCTACCGATATCAATAATACGATCGTATTTTTGCAATCCAAGTTAGGTAGGTAGGTATTTAGTTAGAATATCTTTCAAATATGGCAAACGTCCAATTTTCTCACCCCTTTTTATTTACAAAGACATTAAAACACTTCCCTAAACAGAAGCAAGAACATAATACTGCAGTACAATATAATATAAAATCTGAGTTGAGGTTCAAATACTGTGTGGATCTACTAGGGCTGGGTATCATTAAGGAGTTGCCGATACGATACATACCTCGATACACAGGCCACGATACGATACATATCTCGATACAGTGCACTTTCGATTCGATATGATATATTTCAAATCGATTCGATACGGTTCAATAAAAAATAAAGGCTAAATCGTGGCTCTGATACTAACAGGCTTTATTAAACCACTTCTTGTGAAAAGTTCATATGAAACACAAACATTTTAATCCTCAAAACAGTAAAAATGCCAAATGTGTCGCATAAATGAGTTTCCTTTCACTCCACAAGCAACAAAAATGTAGCACTGTAACAAAATAATTTAGTAAAACACACCTAAAAATACTCTTGGTGAAATATCGATACAGTAGCCCAAGATATCAATACTGTATCATCACATTAAACGATACGATATATCGATATTCCGATATTTTTGCACACCCCTAGGATCTACTGATCTACTCTACGCTCGTGTTCTAGTCCTTTTATCTTTTCATCTTTGTGTCTATCAAAGGTACAAAATGACAGAATACGCTGCCTGTTAGAATACATAAATTGAGGCAACTACTCAACTTTCAAAAAAACGATTAAAACTTGGTTGAAAACAAATCAGACATGCACCCATAGATGATTTTTATCTTTTTTTAAATCTTTTTTTCTTGGGCACTTGCAACTTGTGGCTGTATTTTTTATTTTAATTTTTTTTTTTTTTTTACTGTAAATGCTTTGTTTTAGTAACTATTTCTGTATTTATCTGTACTGTTAAGCACTTTGGGGCAGCACTATCTGTTTTTAAAAGTGCTATATAAATAAACCGTGACCTTGACCCATTTTCTGTCATGTTGCCTAACCCTAAATGCAACGCTGAGCAACTTTGAGTATATAACAAAAAATAACACTGTATTATTTTGTGGTAGGAAGATGGCTCCAGACAGGCCGGACTATTGTGAATCGTTTCTGCTTGACTGCACTGTTAGTCTGGGTCTTGGGTCTTACTATAAAACTGTAGCTAACAAATAAAAAATTCATATGTCCTCGGAAAACTTCAATATTATGGACAGAAAGTTGCAATGTGTTTTCAGAATGTGTATTGTACAAATAACAATCGATCAAAATATCTTCTCTCAAACAGGATTAACTATAAAAAACAAGAATAGTAAGAAAGCAGTAAATCAAGTCCTCCATCTGATCTGTGCAATTCTGTTGAACAACTTGTATGTCTGACAATAATGGATTTTACTCAGTCTAGTCAAATCCATGTATCATTCGTTTATTCGTTTTTCAAAATAAAACCAAAAATAAGAAAATGAAAAAACAACTATTTTCTTCATTACTTGTCTCCAAAACCAAAATGAAAAAACAGATAACAATTAGTTTTTTCAGTTTTTTCTATTTTGTGTTTAAATGAATAATGGAAAAAACGGATAACGACCGTTTCCTGTTTCTGTGAATTAAAACTGCGATGACTGAACCAGGACTGAACCAGGTCCAGGACCAGACCAGGACTGAAACTGGGATTGAGACCGGGACTGAGACCGGGACCGGGACTGAGACTGGGACCAGATCAGGACTGAAAACGGTTTAGTCCTGTTTTAGTCCCAGTCTCAGTCCCGGTCCCGGTCTCAATCCCAGTTTCAGTCCCGGTCTGGTCCTGGACCTGGTTCAGTCATCGCAGTTTTAATTCACAGAAACAGGAAACAGTCGTTACTGGGACAAACTGGGATTGAGACCGGCACCGGGACTGAGACCAGACCAGGACTGAAAACGGTTTAGTCCTGTTTTAGTCCCGGTCTCAGTCCCGGTCTCAGTCCCGGTCCGAGTCCTCAGTCCCAGTCTGGTGAGGACCTGACCGGGACTAGACCAGGGCCGAGACCAGGACCAAGAGCAGGACTGAGACCGGGACTGAGACCAGGACTGAGACTGGGACGAGACCAGGACTGAAAAAGGTTCTGGTTCTGATTTAGTTCTGATTTAGCCCTGGTTTAGCCCTGGTTTAGCCCTGGTTTAGTCCTGGTTTAGCCCTGGTTTAGCCCTGGTTTAGTCCTGGTTTAGCCCTGGTTTAGCCCTGGTTTAGCCCTGGTTTAGTCCTGGTTTAGTCCTGGTTTAAGTCACAGAAAAGGGAAACGGCCATTATCCGTTTTTTTCCATTATTCCTTTAAACACAAAATCGAAAACTGAAAAAACAAAATTGTTATCAACAAAATCTTATGTTGGTGTTTCTTAAAATCTTTAGATCTAAAATCTGAACTGGAAATATTCTTGATGTTTTTTGTCGGAGTGAAAAGCGCAGAGCTTCAGGCGAATGGTGCAATACGCCACAGGAGGGAGAGACAGATGGAGAGGAGAGAAACGGAAAGAGGAAGAGAGTGAGAGAAAAGAGATGGGTCCAAGAGGGCTACGTTGTATTATTCGTTTACCCCTCGTACCAGGTGGAAGCCATAGCTGCCAGGGGGCTAACTGTCGAGAGAGAGGTGATAATAGAGAGAAAGAGAGGGAGTAGAAAAAAAGGAAATGAGAAATGAGCGTGAATGGAGGGGTGGTTAGACAGAAGAAGTGAGAGAAGGGAGGGGAATGGGAAGAGAGAGAGAAAAAAAGGGAGGAGCAAAATGGAAAGAGGACAGGGACAGATAAAAAACATGAGAGAGAGAGTGATGACAGAGAAGATAGAGGGAGGGTGAGAGAGAGATGAGAGAGAGAGAGAGAGAGAGAGAAAGAGAGAGGGAATGAGACAGACAGAGAGACAGAGAGAGCAAGACAGAAAGAGAGAGGGAGACAGAGAGAGAAAGACAGAGGGATAGAGAGAAAGAGAGGGACAGAGAGAGCATGAAAGAAGGAGACAGAGAGAAAGACAGAGGGGTAGAGAGAAGAGACAAAGAGAGCAAGACAGAAAGAGACAGAGAGAAAAAGAACAGGGGTAGAGAGAAAGAGAGGGACAGAGAGAGCAAGACAGAAAGAGACAAGAGAGAGAGAAAGAGAGACAGAGCGAGAGAGACAAAGAGAAGAAAGAGGAGAGAAAGAGTGAGGAGAGGGGGAAAGAGAGAGATGGGAGTAAGAGGGAGGAGAAGAGATGGAGAAATGGAGAGGGTGAGTGAGAAAGAGAGATAATCAGAGCGAGATGGAGAGAGAGAGAGAGAGAGACAGAGGATAGAGGAGAGGGAGAGGGGGGAATGAGAGAGATGGGAGGAAGAGGGAGGATAGGAGATAGATTGAGTGACATGAAGAGCTGAAGAGAGAATCAGAGAGAGAGATGGAGAGAGACAGATAGACAGAGAGAGAGACAGAGAGAGAGAGACAGAAGATAAGATGACAGGGAGCGTGAGGAGAGGCGGAAAGCGAGAGATGGAAGTAAGAGGGAGGAGAGAAGATAGAATGAGTGAAACATGTGTGTACCTGGTGTGGAGTGCTCTGTAAACAGACCATTAAAGCCTGTGAGGGGAGCACTTAACACACTTTTCACTATTAACTTAACTGAACACTGTGGTTTAATGAGACATCCAGCTCCTAAATAAACTCTAACTGAACTTTATTCACTTAGCTCACACTCATATCCTTAATGCTCTATTAGCGACATCAGCATATTTTACCCTGTTTGCAGGTGTCCGAACTTATTCCTCACTTTAACATATCCCTAGAATGCTAATAGTGCACCTCCTGGCTCATGTAGTAAACCATTTATTAGACAGCACACAGGTCTCATTCTGACCATATACATGTACTGGGGCAAAATACATTTATTTTATTAAATGAAAAAACCTTAAAGCTCCCATATTATGCTGAATTGACTCTTGTGAGCTTTTAGCCATGTTATGTTATTACTTCACCAAAAACATATGTGGAGTTGTGTTTTATTTCATTCACACATCCTTTATTAATAGTCTGTCTACATCTCTGACACTCAAAATGCTCTGTTCTACCATGTGATGTCATGAAGCGGTCGTCAAATGAACAGCTCCTTTTACCCTCTGTTCGGTAGAGATTGTTTGGATTTTGTTCACTATACAAAGGCAATTCCAGGCCTGAAATAATCCAAATGATTCTAGTGAAGGTGTATGGAGCAAGCCCCGAGGTTTCAAAATGGGCTGAGCTCAATGGCACATAATTCCAGATTAGCCTTTAGCCTGGCGAGGTACTTCCAGTGGCTGTGGGCAAACCAAGCATGTACAGTAGTGCACTATGCGCGGTCTCGTGTATCACATGATCGCTTTGACCAATCAAAGTGAGAGGAGTTAGAGTGGAGCAGACCAGAGCTGGAGCTAATGATTATAAAGTGTTTTTTAAGACAAGGATTTTGAGCTGAGAAAAAGTTTATGATCTAAAAATAGATCATAAAACATTTTTGAAAGTTGTAGGTGCCCTGTCAGCCAAACACGAGCAGTTTGTGATTACATTGCGCTCTATGAGAAAAATCTTGTCTCAGCCCATGGGATTTTTCCCACTGAAGTTCCAGTGAGTGACCATACATCAACTGGAGGCAGCTACAAACAGCAACACCCTATCCAGTTATTTTAATAGATCCATGGAATGGAGTTAAAAAACACATTGGACCACTTCTTGTATTACTACATGACATCACAAAGTAGAACAGGGTGAAGAACTCAACCTAAATATGCAGGGTTTGTGTGTTAAACATGTGTGAATGAAACAAAACACAACTCCAGGTCTGTTTGTGATGTTGCCTAATATAGGCCTTTGAAGTTTCCAAACTATAGTGTAGTTATATAAAAGTACCATAGGAGGGGACTGCAGGTTGCTCTCGTGTAGAAACTGCTCCAGTGTCACCATCTCACTCCCGGGCGACGCAGGGCGACCTTTGGGTCTAGGGGCCCCTCTCTGTGGCTGGGCCTTCTGAGGGGAGTGGTCGTACGGGAGGGTGGAGCTACGGGACAGACTCTGCTGTGATTGGCCCACGCATATAACATCATCACTGGAGAGGCTGGCCGAGCGCACCTGACGATCGGAGTTGTCTGATGAGAAAAGAAATGTTTCATGTTTAGAATTGTTATCTGTTTAATTTAAAATAATATTCATTCTAAATTGACCCTACAAAGCTTCAGTTCTATTGAAAACTCTTACTTCTGTTCTTCACCATTCAACCAAAAAGTTAGTTTAAATCTCTAATATTGAACATCTACTACCTAAACATTGCTTAGACATGAAACTATATGTTTTCTGTGCCAAATCTTTAAAGGTGCACTGTGTAACTTTCCGGATGGAGGGTCCGTCACCATAGAAATGTTGTTGCTTTGCCTGAAATTTTTCACCTTAAACTTACCCATTTCCGTGGAAACAAGCACCAAGCCAATTTACAATTACACATTAATTAAATATTAAGCAAGTTTAATGCCATACTATGGTACATTCCAAGGAAAGCAGTCTATAGTGCATCTCCATGGACACGGACACAACCAGGTGCTAGGCTCTTGCATAATGCACCTTTAAACTTTTAATTCGAATGCTTGAATTTGGAAGTGTACGCTGCCCTCTACTGGCCAGAGTGAGTAAAGGAACATGTTGAATTGTTGAAATTGCAGCACAGCTCATAATAAAATGAGACCATCAGTTAAATGTTTTGTAATGAAAACTATTTAAGCTTTCAAAAGATCAGAACGAGCCCAGTGAAGTTCAATGGACTCTGGGAACGAGTTGAAGAATTTCTATGTACACAGTTGTATATTATAAGGCCTTGAGACAGTAGGTTACCATGGCAACAATCTCTCTAGTACCTTATTTATATCTCATTGGTTCTATATACATGCTTAACAGTGGCTTTTATAATATTTAAGGTTATTTAATTTATAGCTATGTCTGATCTCTTAATATTAGAGATTTCAGTCTCTGCAGAGCAAGTTATTAAACCAGTGTTTAAGTGGCTTTAGGCATTAGCATTAGCAATTAGCCACAATCTGTCGCCACTCACAAAAGAGAGGAAAATGAGAAAAACAATATACAGAATTTCATATCATTCCGGAAGAGATTACAATAGAAGACCATTAAAGGTCTCATATTATTATAAGATCTTTTGTTATAATGTTGTTTCCTCATCACAAACAGACCTGGAGTTGTGTTTTGTTTCATTCACACATGTTTAACACACAAACCCTGCAGATTTAGGCTCAGTTCGTCTCTCAAACTGAAAACATTCTGTTCCACCTTGTGATGTCATGTGGTAATACAGAAAGTGCTCCACTGTGTTTTTAAACTCCATACACCTTCGCTAGAATCATTTGGATAATTTCAGTCCTGGAATTGCTGATCTCTATTGAACTTAAGGTAAAAAAAAATATTTCTTAACTTGAAAACTACCACTTCATGACATCACAAGGTGGAACAGACCATTTTGGGCTTTGGAGATGTAGACAGACTAATAATAAAGGGATATTCAAAGATGTGTGAATGAAACAAAACACTCCAGGTATGTTTTTGAGGAGGTAACAACATTATATCATGGGTTATGTCAGAATAATTTTATTATCCCATATTTGCTAAATACTTGACCAATCACTTGTATAAAAATAAATAACCTCTTTGTGTTTGACAACTGTGTGCAGTGACCTATCGCTCTAGTGAACCTCGAGATGATTCCTCACATGAAGCCAACTTCCACTGTCACACATGCAAGAGTTATGATGGTGTCTGACCATACCTAAGGCACCCCCTGATTGTTAATCATGTTTTATGTGTTTGGACTATGCATAGCTGCACCAGTTTCTTATTATGTCTTGGCTGTTTCCCCTTCCCCTTGAGAATTATCATTCTGTAACTAGGGCCTCCTAATGAAATAAAAAGAGGAGAATGGCCTTGAGTCATCAGAACGTGTGGAGACTGTTGGTTGTGATGCCCACTCTCTGCCCGTTCTCCTCGCGAGTAAATCTGAATTAATCTCTTGTCTTTCTTCTTGTTTACAATGTTTAGATAAACCTAACAGGTTACAGCTTTAATGATATGGTCCAGCCCTACTAAATGAACAGAAATATGCTCCTCTAGGTGCAGTTGAAGTGTAAACCCGGTGGGAGCCCTGTACCTCGGCAGTTGACAGGAGAGTTGGAGCTGGACGTGTTGTGGCTGTAGTCCGCTGACCCTGGGCGACCCCCAGCGCTGCCATGGAAACCAAACACGGAGTCCGTCGAGGTGTGGCGCAAATCTTCATCGTACAACAGACCTGAAAATGTACAGCAGAATGCGTTATTAATGCAAAGATAAAGTAAGGTCAAATGTGAGACAAAATTCTGTCTTTTTAATGCGTAGCCTGATCTGATTGGTATTTGACCTTTTAAGTTATTAAACATATGAGTATATAACAGGGATGGGAGATCTAGTGCCACAAGATCTCGTGAGACAAAATTGCCAAAAGATTCTGTACACAAGAGAAAAAATTATCTAAATTTTTTCCCTCTGAATTTATCTTTGGCTTGGATGAAAAAGAGTTAAGAGCTGATGAGTTAAACAATTTGACAAGCTGTAGTTACAAAAAGCAGCACTACATTCATCACTAAAGTATTACATAAAATAAATGAAGCGAATCTTGTCAGCTTCATTTATTAGCACTACTAATATATTACAACTTATGGTATGTAAAAATCTCATTTTATCTCGTTCTTTGTGGACCCAATCTCGTGGTGTGTCTCGTCTTGTGAAAATTGTGTCTCGATCCCATCTCTATTAAATACCACCCCATTCCACGTATTTTATTTGAACTGCCATCAACATCACATTATAATATATATGTTAAATGAGCATAATATAGGAGGTTTAAAGGTTCACTGTGTATGTTTTCTGGTGGAAGGTTTTGCTTTGCATAGACTGTTGCACACTATGGTCACTTTCTGATCTTTTATTTATTCAGTTACAGCCTTTTATAGCCAAAAAATACTAGGTTTGGTGGTGTCATCCACTTGTCTCCATGGTGATTCTACCATTTTGTGGAACATTTCTGTCAGAAAAACAACTCCACCTAAAAACTTGCTTAATGCTTACACTGAAAGAGTATTTGGTACATGTGTTGTTTTTACCTCTAGTTCTGCGGCCGGGCCCTGGTCTGTTGCTGTTCAAACCCACTGAAGAAGAGTGATGGTTGGGGGTGGAGCTCAGGGCTCTGTACGCTGGACCTGAAACACAAAACATACATTTACTCACAAGCGATAAATACAGGGCTGAGAGCCTGAAGGCCTGAGTGACATTTTAATAACTCCAGAGACAGAAATATATAGGTCTTTTAACTAATAAAAAGTTAATTTAAAGACGCTGTACTAAATTTTTATTCCATGTCATAAAGTAACATAAGTTCTTCCCCAGTACAGATATAATGTAAATCAGCTTTTTGGGGTCAAAATGAGACCCCTGTGGTGTCAGCATCTGATTATAAAGTATTTTAATGTCTGTAAATCATGAAGTAAGCTGTTAGCATGCTAGTTGTTGTTTACGTTACTGTGTAATGTGGGATGTTGGAAGTTGTGTTCAGAGTGATTTGTGCATGTTTAAGTAATCGTTCATTCGTGTGAAAAATACCTCAGGTAGAATCCATAGCAAAGGAGAAAATCAGTTTGTCAACTGTACAAAAGTTTGTTTGGCTGAATAGGTTTCGCAGCTCATCCAAGGTGCTTCTTCAGTTCTGGTCAGAATGCTGGTGGCCACTTTCTTATATCTGTCTGCAGGGAAGAAATAACTAACTACTCTGAAACTAACTGGTTTGAGAGGGGAGTTAAAGAAGCCATTTTTGTTAAGAAAGAGAATCCTTCTCTAAACAGAAATGGAGGCCTCAGATAGCATCTATCTCCTATTTACAACTCCATCCTCAAACCTAAATAAAAAACAAACAAGAGAACAACAGGTGTAGTCAGATCAGGTACAGAGGTGTGAAATCACCCATCATGGCCCTGAATGATTCTGCTAATCAGACCCCACACTCACTGCAGTTCAACAGACCTAACTAACAGAAACTGTAAACAAGTAGGTGTGTTAGTTTCAGAGTAGTTCTTTAGCTCCTCCCTGCAGGCAGATATAAGAAAGCGTCCACCAGCGTCTGACCAGAACTGAAGAAGCAGCTTTGATGAGCTGCGAAATGTATTCGACCAAACAAACTTTCGTCCAGTCGACAAATTGATTTTCTCCTTTGCCATAACCTTTCATTACCTCTTTTCAAGACGCCATATTGCCAATCAACTTGTTTTCACTGCCACTGGTACATGCCCACTGGTCTGTATTTACATCGTTCTCCAATTTACTTTTCTTAAGAACTCAGCAGTGATACTTTGTCATTTTGGTGCAAATGAAAAAAAATCCACTACTTGCTATCTTAACCCGCAGCTATCCATAGGAGGTGCTGACAACTTCCCACTTCTTTGTTGTGATGACATTTACAGTGATGTCAGCTCCCATTGAACACCATAGTTTTCTAACATGGAAATCAGCAGACTTTATTTTATTAAGCTGTTTATTAAGCTGTTTTAGATTAATATTGGGATTTAAAATGTCCAAATTATAACAATGATCCACAGGTGTCATGAATTATAACTATACAGAAGACACAAGCACAATATGTCTGTGATATATTTATATTACTATATTTCTATATTTATTTTACTTTACCTGTGCATTTATGTTTATATATTTATGCCTTATTTAACACCAGTCTCTTAATATTTTTGCTATTTATTTTGAATTTATTATTACCATTTACATATATAGTTTGTTATTATATTATGATGTGTGAGCTAGTGTGTCCAAATAATTTCCCTTGTGGATCAGTAAAGTTTGGATATAAGTCTAACAATATGTCCTCTGTAATAAGCTGCGACAGAATATTTTACACTGTCCCCAACATAAATAACTGCAGCCTTTGCAGTTTTTAAATTGGACCATTAAACTTGATATAGATAAGTCTTCCCCTTCATATCTCACCTTGTCCGTGGTCTTCTCCGTTCACACTCTCGTTGCTGCCCGCTGGCGTGCTCCCTCTGTGCCCAGCGCGGCCTCGCTCGCTTAGTCCTGAAAAATCGATCAGAATCCAATAAACTGCAAATCACAAACAGCAAATGGCTCTGAACAAATGACACCACACGGATACAGGAGCGCAGTGCTGACAGTGCAGGAATGAACACAGGGGGCGCTATATGTGTGTGTGTGTGTGTGTGTGTGTGTGTGTGTGTGGCGTTTACTGAATCAAATAAACAGATTTGAAGGTGCGGCATAACTCACCAGTGACCTGTCAAAATAAGTCAGCAATATTACATAGTGATGTTTTATTTATTTATTTATTTTGGTGCATATAAGGGTAGTGAACAAGGCAGACAGTCTGACTTGAGTTAATTTAAGCTTAAAGGAGCATTGTGTAACTTTTCTGATGGAGGATCCGTCATTGCTTTTCTCCATGCAGATGTTATTGCTTTGTCTTAAGTTACACAGTCCACCTTTAAATTCAACCAGGAAGATTGGATTTAGTCCTTGTTCCCATCTAGTGTCTGTTAAAATCAGTCATTTACATAAATCCCTACATCCCTTCTTCGCCATCTCTACCGCAGCAGCAGAAACATCACCCTTTTCACCCTCTCCATCTCTATCCTGTTTCTATCCTGTTTTTTTTTTTAATAGATACATAATTTTGACACACATAAACATAAAAAATAAAAGTAAATGGTAACACTTTAGTTTAGGGACCACTTATTAATAGCTAACTGGTGGTAATTGGTAATTGGTATGATAATAAGCTGTTACTTAGTTATTAGTTAGTATTAATAAAACACTTATTAATGCTTATTAAGATTTCAGTGTATGCCCAAAAACATCTATTGCAATCTATACTATTTTAATGGGAAGAAAATAGTTAATGGGTTAGTACGGCCTTAGACAAAAATTAATTGAATGTACTTTATAAATACTAACAAAGATGTAATTAAGCACTTGTATTGTATTTGTTATTGTATTTATTATGCACTTATTAACTAGCTATTAATATGTGGTCCCTAATCTAAAGTGTTACCAAATAAACACATAAAGCAAATCAAAAAGAGATATATATGTGTCTGTCCTGGTTGAATTTGCTTGTGCCAGTGAACTCTTATTTGCCAACATTACCTACCGTTACCGGGGATAACTTGTAGCAGCTGAAATATAGCGATTTTCTTAGTGTCAAGTAAAAACCTGTTCACAGTATAATAAGACTGCAAGCATCAAAAACCACAGAGGAAAAGGGGTTAGTGTCTATTGAAGCACAGCACAGAACAGACCAGTTTAAAGCAGTCAACTGTCCGACCTTTAGTTTAAATTGTGCAGGAAAAGTACTGCATTCTTTACCAATATTCTCAGAGGCTTCTCCCATTATTATAAAGTGTGAATACAGCTTCCACGGGGCGATGCAATGAATCAAATTTTAATCAAATTCTTATTCGATCGTTTCAAATAGTCAGCATGTTTTGGTCCGTTTATTATATTGTGGTCCACAGGGGATCCAGAGTTTGGACTTGTGAGATGTAAACGGGATAATATAGTTAATATAGATTTAAAGCCTGTTTGTTTATGTTAATGACATTTGCAAATGATTTTAATTAGTTTTAATAAGAAAAGAGTAAAATTGAATATAAAAATCGATCACTACGAGGAAAAAGACATGGTTATTTTTTGCCATATGACTCATGCCGCATTACTGGCTAAAAGGGCACATATTATGCTACCTTCTGATTTCTATGTTATCCTGTTTCCTCATCAAAAAAATACCTGAAGAACACACAAACCCTGCATATTTAGGCTGAATTCTTCTCTCAAATGGAAAATAGTCTGTTCCACCTTGTGATGTCATATGGTAATACAGGAAGTGCACTATTGTGTTTTTAAACTTCATATACCTTTGGATGATTTCAGACCTGGAAGGTAGCCGTTCACTTGAAAACTTCATAACATCACAAAGTGGAACAGAGCATTTTGAACTTTTTAGATATACATAGACTAATAATAGGGTCCATTTTACTTAAATTCACCCCAAAAAATTGTAATTTCAACCCTCACATTGTCCAACTGCAAAGAAAATTGGTGTATGGGTAAGTCATAGCCAAGAAAGCCAAAATCTCACATTTTAGCATGATTGGAGATTTCATTTTTTGTAGTTTGTACACATGCATCTGTGTCAGGGAGACAGAGACAAAACGATTGTACTGTAATGTTCCTTTGATTGTCAGCTGTATACACTGAATTTGTCATGTCTTAAGATGGAGTAAGTCAACTTCTAGGTAAATTTGTTAGAAAATAAAAAAGAAAACCCCTTCAGATTTTTTATGCTGTAGCAGACATATAGGGCTACATTTTTTCTTTTGTCTTTCTAGTGTCATTGAGGTTGGGAGTGTCCCTTATTGTCAGTTTCAAGGTCAAAATACAGGTAATTCATCTCAAAATGAATAAATGCCAGATTTGGATTCCTTTGATTTCCCCTTTCCAGAGACACCTTGGTGTTGATATCAGACCAACAGTTGCTGAGTAAATGCAATTTGAAATTCAGTGACCACACAAAAAAGTGAAAAAATGAAATTGCGATATCTCGGAGAACGCTGGTCCGATCAAACAAAAATTTGAAATTTTGGCTTTTCTGGCTATGATTTACCTCCATACCAAGTTATCATAAATTTGACAAAGTAGGGTTTAACTCATTGGGTGAACTGAGGTGGACTGACCCAATACTGGATTACTCAAACATGTGTGAATGAAACAAAACACAACTCTAGGTCTGTTTTTGATGAGATAACAACATAATAAAATAGCTTGAAGCTCACAATAATCAATTTTGCGCAATATAGGACCTTTAAGTGACTTGCCCAAGGACACTGTGGCAATTTGAAGCTGGGATTTCACCTCCAAACTCCTTCTATTTATAGATGAATCAGATTTAGACATCATAAGGAAGCCAAAAGTTCAATGTGTAGCAGCAGTGGAGCGAGAAAACCATCTTGAGGTAAAGTGCGAAACAATTGACTGTAAATAATCTGATCTTGTTCGTCCATTTTTCACTTCTGCGACATTAGATAAAGGCACAAACAGGTCCGCTCAGGTGTTAGATGAAGGTTCGTGGGAGCATGCAGCGGGCAGAGAAGCATTTGAGCGTAAAACTGTGACAAATTTGAACACTTACGAATAAAACTGGCTTTCTCTCAATTTCACCATGCATCTGTGTAGTTTCAGTGAGTATAATGTGGTGGTGCTGGTGCGTGAAAAGTGTCCAAAAAGTAAAAATATATTGAAATGAACTAAAGATATGGGGTGAATTATGGATGTTAGAAGTGATGAGAATGAAGAAGGGATATTAAAAAACATCGCTGGTCGGGGTGGAGCGGCTACAGTCAGCTGTGATGTCAGTGGACGACCAGAACCGGAGGCGTCTGGAGAGAGAGCGAGAAGAACGGGAGGAGGAAGAGAGGGACAGAGAGGGAGGAGGAGAGTGAGGAGATTGAGGAGAGAGAGAGGGAGGAGGAGAGACAGAAGGAGGAGGGAGGGAGAGGGGGGAGAGAGTGGGGTGAGGAGGAGGAGAGGGGAGGAGCTGGGTCTGGCTTTTGCTGCGGAAGAAACGGAAGCGCTTTGGGGTAGGGGCTAAAGAGGGAAGGAGGAAGAGAGAAAAAGGAGAAGGGAGAGAGAGAAGAGTAAAAAGAGAGGAAGAGAGGGGGAGAGAGGAAGAGAGGGTAATGGATGACAAATATGAGAGGGGAATGACAGAGAAGAGGAGAAAAAGAGGAAAATGAAGATAGAGGGAGGAAAGAAATAAGTACAGACAGACAGATGGACAGATGGATAAAGAGAGAGAGAATAAGAGGAAGAGAGACAAAGGGAAGGATAAAGGGAGAAGGAAAGAATGACAACGGGGAGAAGAGAGAGAATAAGAGAAAGAGACGGAAGTTGGAAGAGGCAACACGTGAGGGGAAGACAGAGAAAGTGATAAAAGGGAGAGAAAGATGGAGTGAGTGAAAGACATAAGAGGAGAGAGAATGACAATGGGAAAGAGGAGAGAGAGAGAGAGAGGGAGAAGGAGATAAAAAGGTGAAAAAAGATAAAGTGATAAAGAAAGAGCAGGTGACAATGCAAAAGAAGAAAGGGAAGAGAGGAGGGGGAGTGGCAAATAGATAAATACATACATAAACAGGGGGGAGAGGGAGAAAGAGAAAAGAAAGAGATGATGGATGAAAAGATGAGTAAATGAAACATGTTAATAATTTAATCACAGAAACTGAAAAAAAAAAGATTTCATGCAAAAGTTTGACAAATCGACAAATGATTAATGAGAAAACCCAAAGTTTGAAAAGCCATGCCCAACACCAACACTGACTCACGGAGAGGAAGAAAGACGCGTCTGCCTCTGGGCCCTGCGAGTAGATCTAATGATTAAACTATTATACCACATTTTAAGGTTCTAACTTCCTGTTATAAGTGACATTTAAATACACTCCTTCACTGTTAGCGTTACTACTTCCTGTCTAGGTTTATCTCTCTGTGGTTTTTGCTGAGTCGTGCTAAAATAAATAAATATTTCAAGATAAGGCAGAGAACGGAGAGCTGTGGGTGGAAGTCACTGATTACATGTTAAGAAGTAAACAAATTAAATGAATACTTAAGCAGAGGAAACTTCTGTGTTTAGAAAGAGAGAATGTTTGTGCCTCAATGCTAACGCTAATGCTAATTTTGAGGCATAATAACAACAATGCCACAAACTGAAGTGTTCTACATACAAGAATTATCAGCAAGTCTTTCTTTTAATTAATTAGAATTTTAATAGGCTGTTTATTTTATGCTTTACGATTTTAATAAAAGTGACTGTTAGCTTTGAGCCGTAGGGAACTAGTTAGCATGCTGCTTAGCGTTCCGTGTCAAATCAACGCTAACTGCTGTGTGCTTTGTTTTCCCTGAGAGTTGGTGCCTTTCATAATCAGCAAATGTGATGTCTCTTGTCTTATATTTAGATTTATCATTAAAAAAAAAAAAAACAAAAAAAAAAAAACACCCATGTGTTAACTGGAACGCTTTTTGTTTAGAAAGAGAGAATGTTTGTCTCAATGCTAACGCTAATGCTAATTTTGAGGCATAATCAATATTACAATGCCACAAATTGAAGTGTTGTACATATAAGAATAATTGGCAAGTCTTTATTTTAATTAATCTGAATTTTAATAGGCTGTTTATTTGATGTTTTATGATTTTAATAAAAGTGGCTATTAGCTTTGAGTCGCAGTGAGCTACCCAGTGTGCTGCTTAGCGTCCCATGTCAAATCAAAACTAACTGCTGTGTGCTTTGTTTTCCCTGAGAGTCAGTTCCTTTCATAATCAGCAAATGTGATGTCTCTTGTCTTATATTTAGATTTAGCAGTGAAAAAAAAACACCCATTACTAAATATGTTAACTGGAACACTCTAAAGATAACATTTTAACAATGAATGGGTTAAATGAGTGTTTTTGCTTCTGAAATAAAGTGGCATAATCAACAGTCCATTATTGTTTGGGGCTAATTGTTGTGACATGTTAAAAGAGAAATAATTACTGCAATCACTGAAGCCAAATGAAGACAATTTGTAGCTAAAACAATCAAGCTGTCATCTCTAATGCGAACAGTCTGGATTCCCACATCAAACTATCCTCTGTAAATACTGACCTGAATACAGATAAAAAACATATAGAGTCTAAAAATACTTAAATATACAAGACATATTTTCTCAGTCAAAGGGTTGTGTGTAAATCCTTAAAGCATCCCAAACCATAATACATACAGTATACATTCCTTTGCATAACACTACTACTTGTTTAAATTAAAACAAACAATTTAAAGGCACATAATGCAACTTTTCTGGTGAAGGATTAACTGTTTGCTTGTCTCCACGGAGATGTTGTTTTGTCTGTAATCTTCCACAATATGGCATTAATTGTAGAGATTGGCCAATGTGTTTTTTTCAAGGTCGATGTAGATAGTTTAGAATACAGAGTACGTAATGGCCGGAAGTAGGGCCGATTTTTTATTGTTTTCCCTATAAATTCTGTACTTTAAATTTTCTACAATCTCACCCACAGCCATTTTTTTTTATTACAAACCTTTAAGAGAGCTGTGTGTTCAAGTTTTGTGCAATGATCTCTTTGTATTAAAGTGTTAATATGAAGCGTAGTGTGTATTTTAGGCAGCAGGTCGGCCAAAACTAAATATTGGCTAAAATTAAATATAGGCCGACTGATATAAAGGTCTCTAATTAATCGTACCCATCTAACATGTATTTATCTCTGTTATCCCTTGAAAAACAGTTTATTGTGAGTGTGGTTGCCTCTCCATAGTTCTGACCTGTAACTGTCTCTAGTGGTGGCACACTCTGATTGCCATAGATTTGGATTCAAGTTTAATGCAATACTGCAGAATTTTCTACACAAAGCAATTACATTTTTATGGAGACAAGCACGTGCCTGACCCTCCACCAGAAAATGTACGCATTCCACCTTTAATAAAGATAATTTTTGGATCACACAAGCTGCAATTAGTTTTTATTTTCTATACAATAATGTAATCTTTTAAGTAATTGCTTTTCTCTGATTTTGGATTGGGGAAATCTACAGGTTTTTAGATAGCTGCAGATGGAGTTTGTTGGTGGTGTCATGGTTTTAAAAATATATTAGTCAAGGACTGTTTTCACACATTGATTTAAAGGTGTGAAAGACTTAAAAATACTGCAGTAACTCCAATGTGTTTCTATTACTCTAGGAACAACATTATTTGTTCAACAGTGCCCTCTAGAGATACACTTTAGATTGTGCACATGTCAGAATAATAACTGACTGCACATGTCTGAATAATAACTGACCTGTTTTTTTGTCCTAGTTTAATCCTGTTTTAGTCCTGGTTTAGGCCTACTTTAACCCTGGTTTAGTTCTGTTTTAGACCTGTTTTAGTCCTTCTTTAGCCTTGGTTTAGTTCTGTTTTAGACCTGGTTTAGTTTTAAGTTTAGTCCTACTTTAGTCCTGGGTTTTAGTTTTTGATTTAGTTTAGCTTTAGTCCTTTTAGATTTTCTGGTTTACTTCTGCTTTAGACCTGGTTTAGTTTTGCTTTAGACCTGGTTTAGTTCTGCTTTAGATCTTCTTTAATGTAATTTGTCATACAGTAAATGATATTTGCTTGTACCTCTGCTGATGGGAGTGAGGGCAGGGCTGCGGGGTCCCAGGCTGGGTGTGTGGTTGTCGTGGATACTGTTGCCGCTGTGGGTGCCGTTGACGCCGTTACCATGGACACTGTTGCCGAGGACGCTGTCGTTGGAGCTGGAAGTCCGCTGGGGCACTGGAGGGGGCGTATCCGGGGGCAGTAGAGGCGGAGGGGCAGGTAGAGGGATGTCTGGGGCACTTTTGGTCCTCTCTCTGTCCTTTATACTCTCCCTTTCTCGCTCTCCTCGCTCACGGCTCGAGTCTTTGCGAGGTTTTATCAGTTTGGCTAAAGCTTTGGCGCCGGACCACTGACTCTTCCTACAAAAGACAAAGAAAGATCATTCCTGGTCTGGATTTCTTTCATCATTCTGAAACAACAACTATACAATGTAGTAAAATTTTATGCTATTGATATAAAAAATCTGCCAGAATGAAAATGTTCTTGCTTCTTTGAATAAATACTTTAAAGTCCTTTAAGAATGCAACATTTATATTGCATTCAGATGTTTCCAGTGGTAAAAAGTTTCAGATTTAAACATTGTAGTATATAGAAATGTTAATTAACTTAGCTACTTGGTTAGAAAAAGTTAAGTTGAGTCTTACTTTTTGGGTGTGGGGTCATAGAACTTGTACTGGTCCATGATCTTTTCCTCCAGTTTCTCTTTTTGTCGCCGGAGAGCGTTCAGTTTATCACTGCAACAGAAATTGATATTTAATATCTACTAATTCATTTAAAAACAATATAATTCCAGTATGTGTAGAGTGCTTTAGTCAGTTACATGTAAAGCTTCTGCTCCTGGTGGTACAGCTCCTTGCTCTCCATGCTCCTCTCTAGCAGGGTGTGGTTCTGTTGGCTCAGCAGGTTGATCTGACTCAGCAGGTGATGGTTCTCCTCCTCCAGGTTTCCTTTAAGTCGACTCAAGAGCTACAGGCACACAAACAAATGATCAAATATTAAAAGCAAATGATGGGAATTTGCATCTTTGCTTTGCTGGCATATTGACACTGTAACACTGTACACTGTGCTACACATTCTCTCTATAGATCATCTTGCCTCATGAACTGTCATAATTTATTCTACAGTCTTGTACATTGTATATTTGTATATCTTTATGAAGCACTTGCTTTTGCATGAATGGTACTTTATAAGGGGCTACAGTGGTTCAGTGGTTAGAGTACGCGTCCACCAACCCAAAAGTTGGAGATTTGATTCCTGCTAAAACCAAATTCTGTCATTGTGTCCTCAGGCAAGACACTTCACTCACTATGCCTAGTATGAATGGCCCAAGGCAGATGTGGTTACAATAGAGGCTCACCACTCAGTGTGGAGAGAATGGAAAAGGACTCGCCTTTTAAGAGGCTTCAATAAACCTGTAAAACATCACCATCATACAAAATGTGCCCTCCCTGTGTGTCTTTAATCCCCTCTTACCTCACAGTGGTTGTCCAGTTTGGTCATGGTCAGGTCCAGGCCTTGGTGCTGCTCCAATAAAGTGTCGTATCTGGACATCCACTGCCCCGCCTCTGTCTGTGCCGCACTCAGAGAAGACTTCAGCTCCAACAGCCTCTGCTGTAAACCCTCACTCTGCTCCAGGTGATGGGACTGGCTCGCTGTCAGCCTACAGGACAGGACAGGTATTACAACTATTAACAAGGACATTAAAAGAGACTGTATATGAATTGGAACCATGAGTAAAGAATATATTTCAGCATTAACTGCTAGCCCGCTCCTACTTAGTCCAATAAACATGTGACTTACTTATACTATAAACTAGATTATTTAATTTGTATTAACATCCGGCATTCCTGAGCAGTTACAAGAAAGTCTCTTTTGAAATATAGTGCACCAAAGAAGCAACTGCAATATTGAACTCATGGGCAAATAACTTATTATTTAATTAATTAATTAATAAGCAATGTGATGAAACTATTCCAAAACCTTTGGATAGACATAATTTGAGTGCATTAAGTAAAAACACTGAAATCTAGCTACAAAATAAGATTAATTTTCTGAATTTAAGTAATCTAAACTTTTTTTTGCATGTATTTTTTCATTAGTGACATTAAGGTAATTACCGATCCACTTCATTTTTGAGCTGCAGGTTTTCTTGCTGTAAAAGTCGATTCTTCTGGACTTCTTGGCTGAGTTCCTCCTTCTCCTTCTGCCCCTGCCCCTCCTGCTTCTCCCATTTGTCCTTCTGCTGCAGTAGCACACAGTATCTACAAGACAGAGCAGAATTTCAATGTTAAGATGTAAATTCATAATCCTTTTATATTAGTCTAACTATACATTATAGGGAGATAACATTCAATAAAATCAGACCAAACAAAACTTTTCACCCAAACTGCCAAAGGTTCAAAGTAATGTCCCAAATATGTATCTACTATACTGGCTTAGGGAAATACAGTAGGTGGATTGGGGAATTTTATCCTTTATTATTATTATAATTATTATGAAGAACCTGTTTTCACAGCTACAGAGGAGTGAATTCATAAATATATAAATAGCTGAAAACAACAGTGGAGGCTTTTGGATATATGAGTGTGTGCTTCCAGGAGAAACAAAGTACAAACAACATAATGTATTTTCTTGTTGTCATATGATCTACAGTGTCTCATTCGAAACATGTTCACAGTCTGAGTGACCCACAGAACAAATCATAAACTGGGATTAAGATGGATTCATTTATGGCTATGTCTTAATCATATGTTTATGCCCACAGTGTTTTGTTAAAAGGCCTTTCATTGTGCAATGGCCATAACTCACACAGAATAGAAAACATATATGTGTATAAAGGTTTTCTAAAGGTTGCATGGAAAACACCAGGAGAGGGTGCATTGAAAAGGAAATCAAGGAAAACAATGTTTTATTTATTTATTTAAGCAGGACAGTTCCACTGAGCATTGGAGTCTCATTTACAGGGAGTCCTGGCCCCACAGGTTAGGAAACCATTCAGCATGTTTACAGTGGTGTTTACAGCCACCTGGAAGTTGAATCCACAACCTTCTTGTTGTGAGGACAGAGTGGTAACCACTGCACCACAACTACACAGTGTATGATATGAATGTTTATGAATGTGAATGTGTATGAATATCAGCCTAAAGGTGCTTGATAAATTTGGATGCTCTACAGAGCAGTAGATGGGAAGTGTCTGATAAAGATACACCATAATAATAGCATGAACCCTTTAACTCTGAAGGTTCACAGTCCTGTAGTTACACTCACTTGTTGTGCAGAGCCCTGTGCTCGCTCTCTAGCGCCCTCTGCTTGCCCTTCAGTGCGGTGTGCTGGCTGATCAGAGCCTCGTAGTCATGAGCCTGTCTCTCATGAAGATTCATGAGTCTTTCGTGGTCACTCAGGACACTCTCTCTCCCTCTCCATGCCTCCTCCCTCTGCCTCTGCCAAGACTCCACCTCTGCCTCCAGAGCCGTCACCTGACCCTGCAGCACGGCATTCTGGGCCATGAGAGACGCACTCTGAGAAGAGAGAGTCGAGTTCTCCACCTGGAACACACATATTCAATATTACAGAGGCAAAGAATTTACTGTTAGGATTAAGATGAAGATGAAGGAAAGAGCTTCAAATATTCCTTGATATATCAAGCTTTAAATAAAAAGGTATAAATGAATGTTATAAATACTACTTAATGTGAAACGTTTGAGAACCACTGCTCTATATGATCTGATGCATCTTCAGGTGCTGTTATCACAGGTTCAGTTGTGCATGTTTGAGGTTTTTAAATGATTAGGAGCAGATATTACAGGTATTATTTGTGATTATATGTCTGATATTAAGCATTCCTTCCCACCTGTAGCTTTGCGGTCTGAGTGTGCAGCCCTGAGTTCTGCTCCTAGTGTGCTGGTGTGACGCTGTAGAGTCGAGATCTGATTGTTCAGAGAATTATTCTGATTTTCCAACTGTTTGAGCTGCTCCTTTAACAGACTGCTCTCCGTCTGCAGCGAGGCATTCTGAAATGAAACACAAATTAGTACATAATTTAAATAAACAAATTAGACAATGGACAAGCTCTCAAGCGAGAACCCTACATTCTTCTCCACATCGATCAGGTGATCTTTGATTCGCAGCAGTTCCGCTGTGGCCGACCCTTGACCCAGGTCGTTTCCTGTGTGCTTCTGGGAATTGTGGTTTTGTTCCTGCTCCTGTTTGAGTGATAATGTTTGTCGGACCTAAAAATGCACCACAGTTATTGTTACAGCAGAAATATAACAATAACTGCACTGGGTTAAATGACTTGAATTCTGAAGATGAATCTTACTTTCCTTAAATTAGTTTAAATTAATTAACTTTTTTAGAATTTTATATTTTATTTCTTAAATAACAATTTAGACAGTTGATACTATATATTTTGTTCAATAAGCTGACAGTTATGCTAAAGAGAAGATGACTGAAATATACTGAAAACAGGAAGAAGTAGACAAACAAGTAAAATAGGTTTTAGATGAGAAAATCAGAATTAAGGCGTCACAGCCACTCAAAAATCAACAATTATATGGTTTAGAGGGTGATTAACAATTGAAAACTAAATATATCTATTGAAAGTGAAAGCAGAAATCCATTAATATAAATAATACCGAACACTATTCAAGTCCCTGATCAGATGGAATTACAAAACAGCAGTTAATTTGTATTGAAAATTAGAGCCTATTGTCTAAAAAAATGCCATTATTATTTAATTTTCATTATCATTATGGTATCAAAATATGATTAAGTTAGTATAAAGCCCTTTCCTTAGTGTTGAAATCAAGCTTGAAGTTTCAGTATCATAACAGCACTACTTGTATAGGGTTTTAATCAGTTGTTCTCACAGTGTTGAGCTCCGAGCGCAGAGATGTGTTCAGGCTGCTGCTCTCCTCCAGCTTCTTTTCCAAACTCGAGATTTTTTCCTCTTTCAGTTTCATCGTTTGTTGAACCGTTTCCTCCAAACGAGACTCCAGGAGCCGGTACCTGCTGATAGTCACATACAAAAGAACTGAGACAAAAACAAACTGATTTACACACGGAAATGAATACAGTTTTGATAGAATATATGAAAAAATATGAATACAAACTGGCCTGATTTTTAACCTGTTCTTGTTGATATAGATTTTATTCTTTATATGCATGTTGGGACTGGGACTAACAGTGTACCACACAATATGATACAAGGCAAATGGCTTAAAACAACAATTTCAGAATATTTATATTTGTTAAATGACTTTTTAAATAAACAATTATCACAAATGTTTTGAAGTATTCATTTAGAAAACCACTTGTGTTCTTTTATAAACTTTTATTGTCTCAAAATGTTGCAGATTTAACCATTCGTGGTATTGAGTATTCTAGTATCACATCTTATACTTAAACGTATAAGCACTTTAGATGTATTGGTTGTTTTTTTTTTGTATGGACATTGGACACTATAGACAGTGTCAGTTATAATAAATACTTCATTGCATGTAAATACCTGTCCTCCATGGTGTGCTCCTGCTGCAGAAGCTTCTCTCGGTTTAGTCCGATCTTCTCCAGTTCTTCATTGAGACGCTCCAGCTCAACATTCTGCTGCTGGAAATTTAGCTTCTCAGACACCAACTCCTGTGAGCACGAAAGTCAACGTCAAGTTTAGCATTTTAATTAGATTCAAAAAGGTAAACAAAAAAGATACACTATATAATTTTATACACACTATTATAAAAGTACTTAGTACCCTTAAAGGTCCAATATTACACAGAACTTTAAACCATGTTAGAATGTTGTTACCTCTTCCAAAACATGCCTGGAGATGTGTTTTGGTTCATTCACCTTTTATTATTAGTCTGTCTACATCTCCAAAGCTCAAAATGCTCTGTTCCACCTTGTGATGTCATGAAGGGGTAGTTTTGAAGTTAACAGCTCCCTTTTACCTTTTGTTCACTAGAGATTGGAAATCCAGGGCTGAAATGATCCAGATGATTCTAGTGAAGGTGTATGGAGTTTAAAAACACAGTGGAGCACTTCCTGTATTACCACAGGACCTCACAAGATGGAACAGAATGTTTTCTGTCTGAGAGAAGAATTCAGCCTAAATATGCAGAATTTGTGTGTTAAACATGTGTGAACGAAACAAAACATAACTCCAGGTCTGTTTGTGATGAGGAAACAACGCTACAATATAGATGAGAAAATAGTGTAATATGGGTCCAATCGAGAAAGTGTTTACTGGTAAATGCCTGGATATTTGTATTTTATTCTACTATATTTACTGTACCCACCTCTCTCAGAGTTGCTAGAGTTCTCTTATCAATAGTCGCTTGTTTCTGTAATTCCTTATTCTCCCTCTCCACCTCCTTGGATTTGACGGACAGCTCCTTCAGCCTATCCATCTCCTTCTTCAGAGCCACGCCCTCTTTTTGCACCGTAGCCAATCGCCTGCTCCTCTCCTCTAGCTCTGCCTCTTTCGTCTCCAGCAGCGTCCTCATTCGCCAGCTCTCCTTCTCCAAATGCTTCCTGCTCTTCTCTGATTCATCGAAATCCTTTTGTAACTTCTTTCTTTCATCATCTGTTTCTTCCCAGTGTTTTCTTTGCACTTTAAGCTCCTGCAGCTCTCTCCTCAGCTCTTCTTCTCTGCTCTTCACTTCCTGGTTCTCTCGTTCAATCTCTTCTTTCTCCTCTTTTTGTCTTTCTAAATTCTCCTCTAATCTATGTTTTTCGTGGTTCAGAGCGGCCATATTTACTTCCAGTCTTTCAGCTCTCTTCTTCTCAGCTTGAGCCAAGTCTTGGGCTTCTTCTAGCTTTCTCCTCAGTTCTTGTCTTTCTTTCTGAACTTCTTGATGTTCTTCTTGTAGTGAGGAGAGGCGAGCGGTTGTGGAGCGGAGGTTTTCCAGTGAACACCGGAGTTCCAGGTTTTCCTTGGCTAAGAGGCCGTGTTCGGACTCGTGCTTGCCCAGGCGCTGGAGCTCTTTCTGGGATTCCTCTGCCTCGTGCTTCAGCCTGAGGACCTCCTGCTCCAGAGAAGAAACCTGCTTCTCCAGAGCCTCAGAGCGCTCGCTACAGGCACGAAGAGAGGTCACCTGGTGGGAAAAAGAATACATGAAATTGGGGTGACAGTGGTGCTGTTGCCCACCACCAATAGGGTTAACAGTTATAATCTTTCCCAAGTCAGTTTTGTTATTTTGTAGTTGTACAGGGTAAGAAATTTCAACCACAAGCAATATCACTGAGTACTAAAACAGGTCTAACAAGGTCTAACTCAAGACCTGGGTCTAAATCGGGTCTAAACCAGGTCTAAGGCAGCTCTGATAAATACTAACCCACAGCAAAAAAGTTTTCGTTTCATGATACTTGAGTTAAGATAATTTGGAAACTAATTTTAGTATTGGTTACTATCTGGGTAGAGATACTTTAAAACTATATTTAATTTATTTAATTGAAAGTAATCGTGTTATTTTTTTTTCTTTTTGTTCATGTAATCAAATTGTTGTATATCAGGGTGTCTCATGCAATTCTCACTGGTTTCATATCTGCTCTTCACCTGTTCAGTGTTCAATAATATTACCTCTAATCTCCCTACACCCACCTCTCTGTTGAGTGCGTCTCTGCTCCTCTCCAGCCTCGTGGCCTCTCTCTCCGCCTCCTCACAGCGTGATGCTTTGTCCTTCAGCCTCTGCACCTCCTCATTGGCCAGTTTGAGCTGCGTCTCCATGGTGACAAGTTTGGAGCTGGATTCCGTGATGTTCTGGTGGAGTTGTCTGTTTTCCGTCTCCACTTCTCGAACTCTGGCCTCGCTGTTGGCCTGAGCTCGCTCCTGGAGGGCGGCCATCGCATCAGAGAGGTGCTTCTTCTCACTCTCCAACTCCAAGATCTGAAAATGATGGGGACAATTACCAAATTAATACAAAATTGTAAATATCTTGGTGTGAGTAATTTTGTTAAGTTGATATCATTATAGCATTACTTTCTGTAATGATTTGCTAAGGTAAATGATCTAGTAATAGATCATAGTAATGAGACTGTGTTAGAAATGGCTTTGGCTGCAATTGTGCATATCTATGAAATATATAATACAACTACAGGTAATTACATTTAATATACATAGTACTTTTAATAAATAAAATTCATTAATACTTGGGGTGGAAAATAATTTGTGTTCCTGTGGCAGATAATTTAGGTTGCAATACTAAGAGAAGTCTTAGATGAGTTGTTAATTTTGAGTTGTTAATTATCTCATCCTATATAATATAAATTAGACATGAATATTAAAAAAATAATCTAACTATTTGAGAAGGACAAAAGTTTAACTTGGGTGGATTATAATGTTTTCAGAGTTTAAAGCTGCAGAACTGTTTCAGTCTGTAGTCCCTTGTACCTGTCTGTCTTTCTCTGCCTTCAGGATGTGCATCTCTCGCTCTAAAGCCTGTTTTTCCTTCAGGATTTCCTCTCCCAGAGACTCCATGTCCTGGTTGGTCATTCTCTCCTGGTCCAGTAAACCCTGAAGACGCTCCAACTGCACAAGAGACAGATAGTAAATACAGTGAAATGTCAAAACTAATCAAATTAATAGTTAATTGCTGTATGATTGACAAAAACAATTAAATATAATGATAATTTACATAGGAATTTTAAAGAGATTATTGTTTAATAGCAACAATATTCATTGGAACATAATAACTAAATGTAAAATAATTTGATGAAAATAACATAGTACCTTGTTGCTCAGACTCTGGTTTTCTCGGTCCAGTTCTTGTGCGTGGAGCTGTTTCTCCTGCAGACTGTGATTGTCCTCCTTCAGTCTCTCTATTGACGCCTGAAGCTCACGATTCTCCTTCTCCAGCTTCAAAACCCGACTCGAAACACATTCGTTCAACTCATGGACCAGAGACTTACGAGCTGAAAGAAAAAGTCAATATAGTTCACTATACTTAAATGGACTTATAATCAGAAGGAGTAAGGAGTAAAAGTAATCATAAGCCGTATTTTGGTCACCCACAATAATTAGTTATGGGACTAGTATAGTGGGACAGTATATCAAAGTCAGAATAAACAGGTGGTTCCTGTCTTGGTCTGTGTGGTGTGAAAGTGGCTGACCTACTTTTACCGCACACTCTAAAGTGAAAGTAAATACTTTAAATAATTGGCTAAAAAATAAAAAGGCTTGCCTCACATTATACTATATTTTATGAATGAGCACCACAAGGCTGGCCATTTAAAAGATCTGGATCAACTAAATATCAGTGACAAGTCTGCCTGTGCGGATAAGCCTTGGTCTGTCTGTGTGTGACGACCCCAGCCTCTGGGCTGTGTGTGACTTTTCTCTGCTGGTACCAGCGCTCATCGGCCTCACGGTGTATTTAGCCAAATGTGAATGAAAAGGCCACTGTGGATAGCACAAGGGGGCGAGCATGTCTACACGACTGTTCGTTTGAAGCCCGTGGTCATGGAAAGACTGGCGGTCAGCTGACAGTGTTTGTGATGAATGATGCATCAGACCTATAATACAATAATTATTGCAATATTCTGGAGAGGTTAACAGAATTGTACATATGCAATTTTTTTCCTTTTTAAATACCTTGACCAGTCTTTAGTGTGAATTATTACACCCACATTCCAAAGACATGATATTTAAAAGTGCTTAATAACCATTATTTTATTATATTATTAGTAACGGATCGTGGCCTATGCAGTTCCCTCTTTTAATACTTTTAAGTGAAAAATCTTACAATTCGATACTGTGATGGATCACAATCAGCTCTGACGATACGATATTACAATATTTCGGTTATTGTTACATCCCTACTCACTACTACTCACTATATGTGTAAAAACCCTCTCACTTTCAGTGTTGTTGTCATGATTCTTGGACAGTTGCTCGAGCTCCCAGCCCAGGTGAGCAGACTCATTCATGCTCTGCTTCTGTCCGATCTCCAGCAGCATGTTCTCCTCCACCAGCTCCTCCAGACGGCGACGCTCATTCTCACGCTCCTGAAGACAGCACGGGAAATATTTAAACAAGATATCAGGACAGAGTATGAATAACGGTCACATATTGATAAGTTACAGTCATGTTAGCAGTTCTAATTTTTCATCACTCTGAATCCATGGATAACATATTTTGAAATGCAATATTGCTATAAATAAAAATATCTTGGACAGTGTACTGTACTGTGGTCCTTTACATACTGTACTTTATAGTCATCCTTTACTCCATCATTATCTCTGTTACGAAAAGCCAATAAGTACCTATAATTATTGGGTGTGATTCTGGTTACAGCCCTACAGCCCTAAGATCAATGTTTGGCACAAGTTTCCCAATCGTGTAAACAAAAATTCAACATCTTTAACATTTCTACAGTAATATCATACCATTTCCAGGTCATTGATTTTGGCCCTCAGCAGCAGGTTGTCCTTCTCCAGTGTGTGCAGTTTATCACAGCGCCCCCTGGAGGCAGACAGCTGTTCTTCAAGCAGCACTTTAGTTTCCATTAGCGTCAAGTTGTCTTCACGAAGCTCCTACAGGGAAATATGAACATATGTTATAATGAAAAGTAATGTGTAAGGAGACAAATTAAGAGAATACCTTTACCATGTTTTGAACTAATTAAATACAGTACGTATACTTTTCAGGTACAACCTTTGCATCTTTAGTTGTTTAGACAATTACTAGGTCAATTTTATTTATTTATTTTTATTATATTAAGATGATCAAGATTTAAATGTACAGCATCAGAAAGAAGAAGACCTGGAATAAGTAACTGGAGTTTTGATAGTGACAGGACAGTTTAATCTGCCTTTTCACTTTGTATCATCTCTGTATTTATAGTTGTGTTTGTGCAAGATCCTAATTTTGAGAGCTTCTGCCACAAAACAACTTCTTACAGTCAATTAATCAATGTAAGGGCTGTGACTTTAGAAGACCAAGAATTTCTTTGGTCGGCTACAGCCCTATAAGGCAGTTTCAGCTCTGAGTAAGTGTCCTGTATTTTCCTCATCACTCTGTACCTCGACTCTGGTCTTGTAGAAGTGCACATCGTTGAGTTTCTCTTTGCAGCGCGTGAGCTCCGCCTCCAGACGATCGACTCGAGAGGCTCTCTCCCTCAGAGAGTCCACCTCATCCCGGTACACACGAGCCGAGCGGGCCTCAGACGACAGGGACTGGTGCTGAGGGAGGGGCAGACGGAGAGTTTAAATGCATTTATAAACTTATCTTGAACGTTCTTTTTCTAATGCAAAAGACAACACAAAACACAAATACACAGTGACCATAACAAAGATAAAAGACAACCTTTCACAGTCTTTTTTCTGACAAAACAAAAGTCCCCAAATCAGGGCAGTAGACGGGGGGGACAAACAGGTCTGTTGTCCCGGGCCCCAGGGTTTTAAGGACCCAGAATTGGACCCTCTTTCTAATAAGTCATATTAGAGGGGGGCCCATATATGGCTTCTTGGCCCAAGCCCCTAAATTTCTGTTGACAAGCTTACCCCAAATACCCTCAAACAGTCCCTTTTTGCCCTTCAGTATACAGGTTATTTTTAACAGTGTGATGGCAGATAACATTTGCTGCATCTACTGACTTATCGTTGGTCTCTGATCTTTTATCCAGTAAGTGAAAGACGTCTTTTAGAAATTAACTGGGTCATGTACTAGTATATCTATAAACATAGCTTCACACTCTGCATATATGTGTTTCAGTGGGTACAGGCCAAATAAAAACTAGTAAGTGTCCAATGTAAACAGCTGCGACACAACCTTTTCAGTTATATTCCTTTGCCAAATTAGCCAACTTTTGTAGCCACACCTGCCCTGAGCCCAACTTGACATCTGCGCCAAAGGTCATACACCACAATCATAGAGAGCCTTGCCCAAAAAGAAAAAAATCTGTGTTTTATGAGCCCCTTAGTCTTAATCTTTTGAAATATAAAAATAATATTACACAAAAGTCTTACCAAGGCATTTTAGAGAAACATTTGTACATTTAATGATCTCATCCTTTTTCTATTTATAGTATTTTAAATTTATGTGAACCAACCTCTTGTTTCATTCTTTGCAGCTCCTGGTCCAGTCGCTCCACTTCATGTTTTGAGTCCATCAGCTGCTCCGTCTTCTCCTCCCTTAGAAAAACACCACCCAAACAAGTTTAATTATAAAACTGACCGTATATGATTATAGCACTGTACGCCCTGGTAATGCGTACACGAGCTGACAGAGATGGATGGATTTCACAGCTAAGGGGAATAACGTCAAAAACACAGAAGATCTTTACCACAGAACAAGATCTAGATAGTAATTTATAGCGATGCATAAGGAGTTTGGGGTTTTAAATAGGGCAGACCGTATATAATTACATTGGAGATTTATTTAAATGGGACAGAATTATGGTAAATGGTGAAAGCTGCAAAATTAAAGACAGATGTTACTAGTCTCACTGTGGTTTCCTATGCTAAGACAATTTGTAAACGTTAATTAGAGCTGCAGCAAGTTATAAAACATGGGGGTGCTATAAGATGGATTTGAATGTATTTTGCCAATGAAAAAAGCCTATTTTTAAAGGTGCTCTATGTAACTTTGTGGTTTGGGGTAGAGCCCTGCACTCCCGAGGGACCTGACGCAAAACGGCGCAGGACACATTTTGAAAGTTCATTGCAGACAGGAGCGGGACTGCACAGTGTGGGAGCGGGCGGGTGAGATGATAAACTGCAGTCCCGCAAACTAAATATGAGTGTAAATTAAAATATACAAATGATTCATGTATGCCTATCATGCATAATTTGTGCTGGATATTTTATTTGGCATTAATAAAAACATTTTAAGCAGCCTAAATTTGAGGACGTGGTCTAATCTTGTGCACATTTTAGACAATTCCTTTCCACTTCTCTGTGTCTGATAGAGCTTAAGAAAGCAAAAGTCCCCATCTTGCGGGATTTGCGGGCAGGAGTGGGACTGAAAACTTCAATTCTTTGCGGGACTGAAAATTCTGTCCCGCACAGACCTCTAGTTTGGGGTCCGTCACTTGCTTGTTTCTGTGGAGATGTCATTGCTCTGCCTGGAATGTCCCACAGTATGGCATTAAACAGCTCTACTTTACATTTCTTCAGTTACAGCTGGTTTTAGAATTCAAAAATACCTAGAAAACATACATTCTGACTGTGAGTGGGGTTGCCTCTCCACAGATCTGACCTGCAACATGGCCTATAGAACCTGGTTCCCACAGACTTAACATGTCCAAAAACTAGTCTAAAGATGGCTCTCTGTTTTTTCCATGTAATTAAGTAAAATTTGTTTTGACCCAGTACATATATTTTCTATAAGCAGCTCTTAAGGTCAAAATGAGGTCGCTGTATAAAGCATTTGTTTTATTTGCAAACCAAGAAGTAAAAAGAAGCAAAACGTCACGTATAAAACTCATTGCCGTGAATAATTAGGATGCTCTGAATACATAATGTAAGTGAGGAATAACTTTGTACCACTGCAAACTGTTTAAAAAGAACCAGTTCTGTTTTTCACGTTTTAAAACTGTTAAAATCAGGTACAGTGCCTTTAACTCACAGTTCTTGTCTGTATCTCCTGAGCTTGGCCTTGGTGTCGGCCAGCTCCACAGAGAGATGATGCTTCTCCTCTTTCGTGAGTGTAGACGTGTTCACTGAAGTTGGTCCGTTATTGAGAGGCACGTCTTTGGAGACAGGCCCCCGCTCCGGACTGCTCATGCCCAGGTCCCTGCAGTGCTCCTGGGGCTGCTGGCTGCTCAGGTAGTCCCTCTCCTGCGTCAGATCCACTATCACCTGGAAGACACAAGATTCAATTATGATTAAAGCAAATTCTGTACGGTATATTATGAATTCAAAAAGATTATCTTATTTAGATTTTTATTTAATTGCCAATCAAATAATATGGCTTACAGCAAGGACAAAAGTTGAGCCAATTTAAAATTAAACAAATGACCTAACTAACTAACCAGGACTAAGCAAACTATCAAACTATAAATTTGAAAAACAGAAAATGTGTATGATAAATCAATATTTCTCAAACATCTTGTGGAATATATTTGTTTTTAAGTATGTATTTAGTGGATTAATACAATTAATATGAGCTAAAATCAAGAACTAAACCAGGACTTAACAAGGACTATAACAAGTCAGGACTAAATCAGGTGCAATTTAGTTCTGAACCAGGACTAAACAAAGGCCCACCAAGAACGCTCTAAGTGCAAAACCAGGTCTAAGTGAGGACTAAACAACATCTAAACCAGGTTCATACAAGAACTGAACCAGGACTAAATAATGCCTAAAGTTAAACCTTAAGAAAACCATAAGAAAATACAGAAAATGCCAGTACAAGCTATGAGCTGAATGTATATAACTTTTAAATTGTATTGTCAGCCTGTACCTCAATGGCCTTGTCTCTCTGGTCGATGAGTTGCCGTAGCGACGCAGCCATATTACGGGACATTGGTTCGAGCTCTTCATGGATGATCTCCGATTCTGCCTCCAGCCAGGACAGGTCCAGGACATTCAGCTGGTTGTGGGTCACCTGTAACAGACATATTATATCACCTTTAACACACACCTTTAAATCCTGGAATGTTATATTTGGAACTTAAAGTAAGACTATAGGAAAGAGACTGACACCTAGAGGTTAAACAGACCATAATACAGCTCATAAATGTGTAGTAAAAACAAAATAAATCTGATATAAAGAGTATAAACAGATAAAATGGAAACTGCACAATTTTGGAACACGTTTTACCTGTGATTGCTTTTGGATTTGTAATGTTTAAAAAATAGGATTGTGTTCAGACTGCACATTGTAAAAATAGTAAAATAAAATAAGAATAACACTTGCAAGACTGAAATATGAAATGATCAACTAAAACAGAATACCATGCATTTCAGAACATGTTTGTAAAGATCTAAAACTACAGATAAGAGATATTTTTTTCTTACAGAGGATAATTGTGGCAACTCAACTGTGCAGCTCTACAAACTAGTTCAGTTCATATCCACAAAAGTATTCTGAAAATATATGTCGATGTAACAAAATATGCAATACAATCTGACATTTTTGTTCAAACTGACATCACTCAACTCTTAAGTTAGTATAAATATCATAACCACAACATTAATGACGCATTGTGTAACTTTTCTTGTGGAGGGTCCGTCAAATGCTTTTCTTAGAGCTATTATTCCTTTGTCTGGAATGTTACACAGTATGGCATTAAATCTTTCTATATTCATGGAGACCAAACCAGACCAAGTTACAGGTCAGATCTGTGGAGAGGCGACCCCGCTCACAGTCAGAATGCCTGTTTTTCTAAGTATTTTTGAGCTATAAAACCACTTGTAATTGAATAAATGTAAAGTAGATCTGTTTAATGTCATACTGTGGAACATTCTAAGCAGAGCAATAACATATTTAAAGAAACAAAAAGGCGACCGACCCCAACCGAAAAGTTACACAGTGCACCTTTAAGAGTCAATATTCTGCATACAACAATACAGTATATCTACACACCTATGGTATAATAGCATATTTTCCGCACAATTAGGTGCTCTGGATTATAAGGTGCACAGTCATTAAATGGTCTATTTTCAAACTTTTTTCACAAATAAACCGCACGGGACTTTAAACGAAACACAACAGTTAGATGGGTCAGTGAGACTTTGTTTGTGGCGTTCACGGTGACTCTGGGCTTTGTTCAGTTGTGGCGTGTAGGGAGGGTGTGTCTGGGACAAACGGATTGTCGGCGTGTTCGCAGTGACTCAGTTGTTCAGTTGTGTCTAGAAGTGGCACATTGCACTCGCTTTTTCGGTTCATTCCTTCGTTCTATTCCTCGTCAACGTGGAGTGATGAGTGTGGCTGCGGGTGTGTTTCACTGCGCGGTCGCTGTCTGCACCGTGCGTGTTTGCGTGCGCTGTGTGTGATGTGCCTTTATAGTTTACTGAAGTCATGCTGGGACACCCGAGTGGATTCGTGGGGCATTTTTTGATGGGGTTGGAGGCTTAAGAGCACGCCCTATACCCCGGAAAATACGGTAATAATAATACGAAAATGAGACAACTTCTGCTTTAATAAGTAAAAAATACATTGGATAATTATTCTAAACAAGCCCCTCATGTTATAGTCTAAAGGTTAAAGGTCTCTTGCTATTTTTATTGCTTCTCGTTTAGAATTTATTATCATCATTTATGTTTTTTACTCTTTGTTATTATAATATATTGTGATGTACGAGCTACTATGTCCAAGAAATTTCCCTTGTGGAACCATAAAGTTTGTCTAAGTCTAAGGTTTATCTGTTGTTGCTGAAGTTCAGAGTAGAGCACCTCTTTGAATGAAGTGTGACACTCCATTAGCTACACATGTTATAAAACCCTCTCACAAAGAAAACTTTACTTTAAAAACAAATTGTACAACTGTATTTATACAAGGTTTAAGGCTAAAAAGAGTTTAAAATAGCAATTGTGTATTCCCTGTATAATGCTCAGTTTTCTTGCTTGTTGTCAGCTGATGTAGGATTATCATGGCCCCACTGTAAACACGAGACTGGAGTCAATGGATGTTTCTCTACCTAGACACAGGCTTATTTATATATAGTAAATATAAACAAACAGTAGACTTAACATTTTGTAAGTGATTTCTGTAGTTATTATATTTTCTTAGATTATAGGCAAAATATTTTGGGACAAATTTGAAAAAAATGCATTGAAAGACGAAAAAGAAGAGGGTAGTTCTCATTTACATTTACTGGAATAACTTTTTTTTTTTAAAGAAGAAGTACTTTTCAGAACATAGCTTCTATTTGAGTAATATTTAATTTGAAGTAGACTGAGTAAAAGCTTTGTTGACTCTCAGTATAGTGACAAAAGCTTTATGTAAACAACATTAACTGATTTGAATATTAACGTTTCTCACAACTGACGCTCAGGGTTGATTTGGTTATATCATTTTAGTGCCCATTTGTATTTTGAAATGTCAGAATCTTCGCTTTATTTATTGTTTACTCAGTGCTCAAGTAGTAGTTATTGAAGTCACAACTTTTTACTTTCTTACTTAACTTCTGTCAGGCCCGTTGACAGAAATGTGAGGGCCCGAGGTGAGAACACTCACATAGGCCCCCTCTAATATTACTTCATAAGCAGAGATACCAGTTCTGGGCCCCTAACACCCTGAAGCCCGGGGCAACAGACCCCTTTGTCCACCCCATCACCTCCCCAGCTTGAGCTATATATTTTTTATTATTATTATTCTTACAGTAGTACAAACTTTGGTGATTCTACCCACCTCTATAAAGAAGAGAGAATCTGACAACATATATGAAAGATAAAACATTATACCACTAGTTACACTCAATTAAGGTACAAGTTTTAATTTTATTTGCAGTTTTCAGTTTGATTACAGTTTTCATTCTTATCTACACGTACTAGTATTGTCTATGTCTGTAGTCTGTAGTCCCTATAATCAGGAGACACACAGTTTGCATGGTTCTTGTTAACTTCATTCAGATCAGAGACCCACAGTCTGGCTGGTTTCATTGGCTTAACTTCAGACAGTGGTTCTATTCAAAAGTAACAGGGCCGAGTCTGTGTGGGGCATTTGTATAAAGCAGAAAAAATGTGAAATCTAAATGACGTGAATTCAAAATGTGAATCTTGATTTGAATATTGTAAATGACTACACTATAGACCAGAAATATTTGACTTTTGTTGAAAATAACTGTGACAGGTAATATAACTTTCCAATAAGTTGTATTATTTATGTTGTAGAATTTAATCATGCTATAGAGCCTGCTCGGGATAATGACATCACACATCACAGAATTTTTTGTTAGACGTTAGCCTCATGTTAAACTAATACACATTTTATGAAGCTAAATACGAAACTTACTAAACTTGTTGTTTCAGCTATTATATCTCTGTCTATTGTCATAAACATGAGTGATTTCCATGGTAACAAACTCTATACATTTACAGTTATGTGCTTTCAACATACTTCAACCACAACCACATCTTAGACTGAAAAATTGGCTATTGGAAAAAAAAAATGTTGATTTGCGATAACAGATGTGGAAATGAATGCTATGTAGAGATTTTAACCATAATTCATGACAACAATGAATTCAAAATATATATAGCAAAAATATCTTCAAATAACTTGGTAACTCAGTAAAAAATATTCAAACCAAAAACTGTGTGAAGACCTGCAGAACAACTAACAACAACTAAAAGAATACATTTTATGTCCAAGCTTTTGACTAGCTCTGGAATCAAAATACAATAGATGATTCGCAAAAACAACGGAAGTGCGAATTCTGGCACCAGCCAATCAGCAAAGAGCCATATATTTCCGAGATCGAGGATTTAAAGCCGAAACAAAGAGAATGTTTGGTGAATTTTATCAAGGGGACAGACGTTATTGCCCTTCTTCCCACGGGATTTGGGAAAAGCTTAATAAACCAGTTCGCCCCGTTAGTGGAGCGTTACATACGTCACAACTAAACAGCAGTGATTGGTTAAATGATAAAAAGTACCCGCCTACCGTCCAACGAACAATTTCTAACACTGCGAGGTCAGATAGTTTCTAAAAAGTGGAATGAAGTGAAACCGGCTGATTTGAATGGTGCTTCTGTATCTGAATTTTCATCACATTAAGGAGATATTAACCAGAATTAATATAAAAATACAGACAAAATTTCTTGTCAAATAATCAGGTAAAAACAACTCCAATTATTCAAAGTAAAATGATGTTAAGATCTGCAGAACAGCTAACAGATAATAACTAAAAGAAGAATTTATAGACTACACTTTTGAATGTTGCTTCTGTATCTGTCAGTGTTTCAAGGCACAATGAGACAAGTGTTATTTCTCAAATCTTTAACAGAATGAGATGGTAATATTAAACTGGGGGAAGATATGAATAAATCACTAAACAATGAAGTTCTTATAATATTAAAATGTTTATTGACCTCTTGAATGTGAGACACGATGGCAGCTTGGGTCTCGATGTCCAGAAGTTTAATCTTCTCGATCATCTCCTCCTTTCTCTCACACTGGAAACAAAAACAACAACATCATTACAATCTTACTAATATTTTACTAACAATTATTTTTAAATAACTGTAGTCATTTTTAATATCCCTCATAGTAAGGTGTGTTTAAATGTCCTATAATATTACACAAAATTGACTTGTGAGCTTTTAGCCATGTTATAATGTTGTTACCTCAAGAAACATGCCTGGAATGTTTTGTTTCATTCACACAAGTCTGAGTAATCCTGCATTATTAGTCTGTCTACATCCCCAAAGCTCAAAATACTCAGTTCCACTTCGTGATGTCATGTAGTGGTAGTTTTCAATTAAACCTTTTAGCATTTGTTCAGTAGAGATGGTCAATTCCAGGGCTAAATTATCCCGTAATATGAATCCTTTAAATCTTTATAATTGAATATAATTTAGTTTTACATCTGTCTATTTATTAAACAAATAGAACAACATATTACAGATATATTATAATTCCTATAGATTTTGCTTTATTTTTCATGATTTTATGTTCTGATCCTTTTTTATTTGAAGACTTTTGATTTCAGTTTGAAAAGTTTGACAATGATATTTCTTTATCCCTTCCCAGGTTCCATTAGGTTCCATTGACGCAGGATGGCTAGGCCTGTCACCATAACTCATTTTGAAGCTCAATATATTGCTATAGAGATACACTGCGATAAACAATAATACTGAAACAACCTTATGCCACCAACACAACAATAATAATGCAGGATAATCCCAGTAAACCAGTTTTAAATATACTCGAACATTCAAAAGGCCTGAGACAATAATTAGGCATAGATGTGACTTATTCAACCCTCTACAGCTCAAATATTATCATATAACAACAATAATACCCCAAAATCTCACCACTTTTATGACAAAAATGTACATACGATATGTAGTGAGCTCAAAATATACTGTATATTGTTAGTTATCCTGTATTGAATGAAAAGATGGTATAGTAATTATCGTGACAGGTCTAGAGATGGTTTAAGGCAGGGGTATCAAACATACAGCCCGGGGGCCCTCCAAGAACTTTAATCTGGCCCTGGGTTGATTTTCTACTAAAATATTTTAATTATATTTTCTATTAAAATGTTGGTAATTTTCTGCGGCGCTTAACATAGCAGCGTCTCCAGCGCCTCTGTACGTGGCCCCTCCCAACAGAGCAGCACAAATGAACACTTGTCTCTTTCCAAACGCTCTTAAAGGACGATCATTTTGACTTCTGACCCCTCATCAGCAAAATGTCAAAAAAGAGAAAAGTGGAGCCGAGTGCAGGATTTTCCAAGAAAAATTGACTTATTCCTATTTACATACAAGTTAATGTTAAAACATTGTGTTGAAATTGCATTTTTCTTAAAGTTTCAGGTTGTTCATAATATTATAATATTTTGTTAAAGAAAGAGTTAATCAATTAAAAAAAGATTTCTGTAATAGATGTGCGTTTCTCTGCACAAATATTTAAACTTATTGCTATTTTTGGGGGTTATATGTCATGAGGCTTTGGGATCAAAATATGTTGGATAAGGCCCCCGGACCAAAATGAGTTTAACACCCCTGGTTTAGGTCGACAAAGACCTAGTAGCCACAGCTGCCTTGGGGCAACTGATGCAAACCTGGCTGTCAATATGGACTCAGCTTCTTGGATCACTACAGTTCAAACAAGAAAGATAGATGAAATATGCCAATTACAAGTAGAAATATAATAATAACTGAAATATTGTGATATAGTTCTCGTCAAAAGTTTCTCAGTAATATCGTGGGACATTACAATATATTGAATCTCAAGTGTCTTTGCTTAAATTCACTGTTATGGTGCAGCAATACCTAAAAGAAACAGAGAAAACTACATAGACCATGATCCATTGCTCTGTTTCAGTCCAATTTACACGATGAAATCACTTACTAACCACTTTTAGATCTTAACTCTTTGGATTATGACAGAACCAAAGGATTGTGAGGGCATTTTTAAAAGGAAAAAGTATTATATTCACAATTTAGTTAGCCTTAGTTAGTATCGTACCGTGAGATGCATATCATGAAAATATCATACAGAGAAATTTGAATATTGTTACATCCCTAATTGCAAGAATAGTGAAACACTACAAGACCGCCTACAGGTCAAGACAAGTTTAATTCAGGCTGTGATTCAGCTGGGTAAATGTTGACTTAAATCCTAAAATAACTTCTTGTTTTGTTTGACGTCAGCCTTATTTTCATGTGGTTTAATCTTTGATGGCTCCTGTGTCCTTCCTGTTTCCTGGACCAGATGAGCCGGTTCAGGTGCAGACAAAAGAGGGGGACAAAGGGAGAGCACAAAGGACAATTAGGAAGAAGAGGGATGCCTGTTCTGATAATTAAAACAAGTTGGTGCAAATCTTAAACGGCCCAAATTAGTTTGTTTTCCAATTTATGTAATGATAATGTTTCCTCCTCACGAACACACCTGGAGTTGTGTTTTGTTTCATTTACACATTTAACACACAGATCCTGCATATTTAGGCTGAGTTCTTCTCTCAAACAGAAAACACTCTGTTCCACCTCGTGACTATTCTGAACAAAATATTATTGGTGCAAAAACGTTTTGTTCGAATTGCAACTCATTCTATGCCACTAACATTGTCTACTCATTTATTCACTAAACTTAATATTCTTAATATTTATGGGATTAATATTTATCAAATTTGTATTTTTATGTATAAAATTCTATATAATTCAACAACGATCCCCGAACATTTCACATTTTATTTTAAAACCAATGCAGAGATTCATAGATACAAAACTCGTCAAATTCATAATTTTCATGTTCCAAAATTTGTCACATCAAGAGCTCAGTTCTGCCCACGATACAGAGGCGGGAAATTCTGGAGCCAGTTTTCACATCTGGTTAGTGATGCAGATCAGAGGCTTTCTTTAAAAAGAGTTTGTGGAAATATTTGATATTTCGTGCTAATGTTTGATAATCTTTCAATTGTGGATGTTTCATTGTGTTTTAATCTATATTTGAATCAAAAGAATTTAATCCATGGTGTTTAAATGTCATATTTTCATATACATATATATATATATATATATATATTTTTTTTTTATGCACAATGATAATGTACAATTTTTTATGTATTCATAAGTTGGAGGCTTTAATATAAGCCCTATTGGGCTTTTTGCCTCTTCCGGCACCTACTTTTTATCTAGTGTTCTAGTGTTTCTTTTTATTGTCATGTTATATGTGCAAAAGAAATAAATAAATAAAATAAATAAATGTCATGTGGTAGATGTCAGGAAGTGCTTTATTGTGTTTTTAAACTCCATACATCTTACATAATTTCAGCTCTGAAATGGCCAATCTTTACTGAAAAAAGGAAAAAGGAGCTGTTAACATGTAAACTACAGCTTCATGACATCACAAGGTGGAACAGAGCATTTTGAGCTTTGGAGATGTAAACAGATTGATAATAAAGAGTTAGTCATGTGTGAATGGAACAAAACACAGCTCCAGGTATTTAAACAGAAAGTTACCCTTACTGGAAAATGTAAAAGTGGGTAAGGTACAAACCATCTTGCTGGTCGAAATGCGTTGTCGTCCCTTCATTCAATAAAGGACTTTTCATATATTCACTTGGAGTGCCTCGGGTTTGTACTTTACCCACTTTTACATTTTCCAGTAAGGGTAACTTTCTGTTTAAAGACTACTGTTTTAACCCTCATAGAGCACATGTACTGCTATTTTTTACTCTTTTATGACCCAGTGAAGTGCTCTACCTCTTTTTCTTCATCTGACATCTGTTTTTGAGGAGGTAATAACATTTTAACATGGCTTAAAGCTAAACTTTCATAATATAGGACCTTTACTCTTCATCTTTAATCTTTACTCTTTAATTTGGACCTTCAGCTGATCATGAATCAGTGCTAGTGCGGCCTCTGCAGCTCAGTGAGTGAAGTCTAGAGGTTTTGAACTTTCACGTGAGGCATGGTCTGTCCATACACTGAGAATGAGAACAACTTGTAAAACTTGTAAGTGTCCTCTGTCTACCGGTTAAAGCAACGGCAATCCAGCTTCAGTTGTTGTTGTAATACCTTTTTTAATCCAGTAGGGGCACACACCGGATACCGCACCTTTAAGTAAAATGAGTGCTAATGTTTTGAAGTTCCACCCAGACTCTTATCAGGCGGCTGTGCTCAGACATGCAAAGTAAAGCAATGCACGCGCTAAAGACACTCCCTTCATCGCCCACTGCTCCTGCGTTTGACCCATCTGCCTTAAGGACGGGCCAAATGCACAGGGCAAACTTCACCACCAGGACAATAAACTCTTGTATCTACTACTAACTCATCAGCTTCTGTGCATGTGTGTGTGCATGTGTGTGTGTGCATGTGTATGGGTGTGTATGTGTGTGGGTGTGTGTGTTTCTTACCTGAACAGCACAGCCAAGTATCAGTAACAAAAGCCTCTTCAGCTCCTCCATACTTTTAGCTGTGGGGGACAAAACAGTTATTACTCATGTCAGTTTGTCAAAATACACTCACAATCACTAAGCAACAGGATTTACAAATGGTTCACTCAGATCGAGTGCCAGATGGAGTGTCAAAAGGCTCAAGGCATCAATAAACTACTGTTACACATAAAGTGCCCTCAACCAATGGCTCCACCTAAATATGGACAATATAAATGGTTTTAAATGGTTATTATTCATTTAATATGGGAATCATCTCACTGAAAAGGATGAGTTGAGAGATGAGTTTAAGTCCTGGTTAAGTCCTAGTTAAGTCCAGGGAAAAATCCTGGTTAAATATAGCCCAGGTTGGGTTTTGGTCCAGGTTTGGTCCAGGTTTAGTCCTGGTTTAGTCCTGGTTTAGTCCTGGTTTAGTCCTGGTTTAGTCCTGGTTTAGTCCTGGTTTAGTCCAGATTTGGTCCTGGTTCAGTCCCTGGTTTAGTCCTTGGCTTTGTAATTGTTTAATCCTGTCTTATTCTTGGCTTCAATGTTTACTCCTGTTTGATTTAGTCCTGGTTTAGTCCTGGTTTAATTGGTTTAATTGTGGTTTAATTGTGGTTTAATTGTGGTTTAGTCCTGGTTTAATGTGTGGTTTAGTCGTGGTTTAATCGTGATTTAATCGTGATTTAATCATGATTTAATTGTGGTTTAGTCCTGGTTTAATCGTGGTTTAGTCCTGGTTTAATCGTGGTTTAATCATGGTTTAATCGTGGTTTAGTCCTGGTTTAATCGTGGTTTAATCATGGTTTAATCATGGTTTAATCATGGTTTAGTCCTGGTTTAGTACTGGTTTAATCGTAGTTTAATCCTGGTTTAGTAATCGTGGTTTAGTCCTGGTTTAGTCTTGGTTTAATTGTAGTTTAGTCCTGGCTTAGTCCTGGCTTAGTCCTGGTTTAATCCTGGTTTAGTCCTGGTTTAGTCCTGGTTTAGTCCTGGTTTAGTCCTGGTTTAATCAGGGTTTAGTCCTGGTTTAATCAGTGTTTAGTCCTGGTTTAATCAGGGTTTAGTCCTGGTTTAATCAGCGTTTAGTCCTGGTTTAGTCCTGGCTTAGTCCTGGTTTAGTTCAGGTTTAGTTCAGGTTTAGTTCAGGTTTTAGCTCAGGTTTAGTCCAGGTTTAGTCCAGGTTTAGTCCTCGTCCTAGTCCTATTTTACTGTTACTTGAGTTCCTTTTGAGTCCTGGTCCATTTCAAGACTTACTGCAGAAAAACTGCACAAACTAGTAAAATTCTTGTGGTAATAAAATCTCCAAATCAGTTACAAACATGACCCATTACCAGTTGTGCCCATATTAATATTAATGCTTCTGTAAACTGCTGACTCTCACACAACATTACTCTTGTCTCTGCCTGTAACAAAAGAACAGTTGAACTTCTCTGTGAGGCATATGACGGATGTACTGAAATGTAACCTTAATGATTATGTTCACATATTTATTTCAAATGGCCTAAAGAACTGAACATTTAACAATACAAGTGCTGTCTGTAACATTCAAAACACATAAACCGTTTACCTATCTGTTATTATGTCATGTACTTTTCTTATAGCCAGAAGCTGCAAATCCTGTAACTTAATGAATATGATGAGTATGTAAGGCTATATAATTTATTCCCCCGAACGCGCTCTGAGGTCTGAGGTACAGCTCCAGATCGTGGTGCCTAAGAGGAGACTTAGGTGGTTGTGGTTGGCCCTAAGCTCTGGAACACTCCACGTTCGAGCAGCATCCACAGTGGAGAGTTTTAAGTCTCGTCTTAAGACCCACTTTTATTCTCTGGCTTTTAACACCGCGTGAGTTGTGTGGTCCTCTGTGTCTTTTATTTATTTTTAATGCATTTTATTGGTTTTATTTATTTATTGCTATTGTATGATTATTTTAGTAGTTTATTTTATCATTTTATTATTGTTGTTATTATGATGTATTTGTGCAGCACTTTGGAAACTGTTTGTCAAATGTGCTATAGAAATAAAGTGGATTGGATTGGACTGGATATATAAATGTCTCTATGTTAAAGGTGCACTCAGTAACTTTTCTGGTGGAGGGTCTGGTGGCAGGTCTCCACGGAGATGTGGTTACTTCATCAGGAATGTTCCACTATATTGCATTTATTACATGGATTACAAGTGTTTTTTGTTTTTTTTAAATCACAAAAGCTTCCACAGATCTGAGCTGTAGCTTGGCCTGGTCACATCACTAAGTTTAATTTTAATGCCCTACTATGCAACATCCTAAGCAATACAACAACATCGTCAAGGAGACAAGCAGGTAGCGCACCCTCAAAGAGAATAGTTACACAGTGCACCTTTAAGAAAAATGCAGTTACAACGTAGACAAAATATGATCCTGTGAAGTCATGTTTTTTTCAGTAGTGGTCAGCGGAATTATTATCTATCTAAATGTATTTATTTGACATTTACCTGATATGGGGTCCTTGGCGATGCAAAGAATGTTGGGTAGAGGCATCACTATTAACTGCTGCAATGTCTCCTGCAAAAAGAAGAAGAAAAAGTCAAGTTTAATACAAATCAATATAAATAATAAACTTAAACTGACGGATTTCATTAACTGTGCAATCTAGAAATGTCCTTTTATTTCAGCTGTTCTGTTTTTTTACTTGATCGGTGCCATGGTGAACTAGATAATACATATTCATTTGGCAGAGACTATAGATGTAATAATATCAAAATCCCTCGATATGACACTTTCACGATATGCATCTCATGGTTTGATATTTATTACAATATTTTCAGGTTTCCAAAATTGTAAATGTGCTACTTTTTCCTTTTAAAAGTCTTGAAAAGCCTTGAAAATCCTTTGGTACTGTTACAATATGAAAAATTAAGATTTAAAAGTGCTTCATAACAGTTATTTCTTCATGTAATCCCAGTGACAACACCAAAGGATCATGGTCTATGTAGTTCCCTCTGTTTTTAGTTATTGCTGCAACATGGCAATGCAAGACAAGTTCATTTGTATAAACACAATTCGTACACAAAGTAATTCAAAGTGCTTTAAAGAATAAAACATTAAAATCACTATAACTATTAAGGGACTTGTGATTCGATATATTGTGATGGTCTTTGATATTATTGTGAGACTTTTGACGATACTTTTCAGTTATTGTTACATCCCTACTTGAGACACAAAAACAGCAAGTGATCCGATAGTATTCATGTATTTCATTCACGTATCTGAACACACTGTGACTCAAACTTTGCCAGTCATGTGCCAAAATGCCACCGTCAGCCATCGTGAAATCTGATCAAAGCCAAAGAAAAAAGCTACCGACTGCTCAACTATGATCACGTTCCAACTCTTACTTTTAGCTGTGACTTCTGAACTGATAATTTCGCTAATACATAAACCAGGAAATTCACTGTAACAGATAGGTGACATGCTTCGTCTGATAACTAGAGCATTACCTTCAGTTGGGCTCATTTTGTTACTACTTTGCATATCGCTACTACAAACACAAAAAACACACAAACATTACAGTAAATACTGTTAATCTTACATTGCTAAACACTTTTTCACACTTTCTTGTTTGCTTAGTCTTTGTAAAGTTAAAAAAAAAAACAACAACATGTGGAGAAAAATCCAAATCAAAGTCCACACACAGCAGTGGGTCAGACCTGAGCTCCTCCCTGAGTCTGGGCTCTGAGCCAAAAGGAAACAGTCTGAGCAGAGAAAGGCAACGGCTGCAGGAAAGAAACAACTTTACAGGCCAAATATACCTCCCCAGGCCACTCCACACCTGACTGTCTGGAAGTGGAGACTATCAAACGAGACCAGGTCTAAAATAAAACTAAACTGGGTTCATGTCATTGCTTTAGAAAAAACAAAAACAAAGCATGTTTACAGGCCAGAATATCCTCCCTCAGGCCACTACACCCTTGACTGTCTACACTGGGATTAAACCAGGTCTAAACAGAGTCTAAACCAGGTCTAAACAGAGTCTAAACCAGGTCTATACTGGGTCTAAACCAGGTCTATACTGGGTCCAAAACCAGGTCTAAAACCGGGTCTAAAACCAGGTCTAAAACCAGGTCTAAAACCAGGTCTAAAACCAGGTCTATACTGGGACTAAAGCAGGTCTAAACCGGGTCTATACTGGGCCTAAACCAGGTCTATACTGGGCCTAAACCAGGTCTATACTGGGTCCAAAACCAGGTCTAAACCTGGGTCCAAAAACCAGGTCTAAAACCAGGTCTAAAACCAGGTCTAAAACCAGGTCTAAAACCAGGTCTAAAACCAGGTCTATACTGGGACTAAAGCAGGTCTAAACCGGGTCTATACTGGGCCTAAACCAGGTCTATACTGGGCCTAAACCAGGTCTATACTGGGCCTAAACCAGGTCTATACTGGGACTAAACCAGGTCTAAACCGGGTCCAAAACCAGGTCTAAAACCAGGTCTATACTGGGACTAAACCAGGTCTAAACCGGGTCTATACTGGGCCTAAACCAGGTCTATACTGGGCCTAAACCAGGTCTATACTGGGCCTAAACCAGGTCTATACTGGGCCTAAACCAGGTCTATACTGGGCCTAAACCAGGTCTATACTGGGACTAAACCAGGTCTAAACCGGGTCCAAAACCAGGTCTAAAACCAGGTCTAAAACCAGGTCTATACTGGGACTAAACCAGGTCTATACCGGGTCTATACTGGGCCTAAACCAGGTCTATACTGGGCCTAAACCAGGTCTATACTGGGCCTAAACCAGGTCTATACTGGGCCTAAACCAGGTCTATACTGGGACCTAAACCAGGTCTATACTGGGACTAAACCAGGTCTATACTGGGACTAAACCAGGTCTATACTGGGACTAAACCAGGTCTAAACTGGGTCCAAAACCAGGTCTAAAACCAGGTCTAAAACCAGGTCTAAAACCAGGTCTATACTGGGACTAAAGCAGGTCTATACTGGGACTAAACTGGGTTTAAACCGGGTCTAAAACCAGGTCTAAACCAGGTCTAAAACCAAGTCTAAAACCAGGTCTATACTGGAACTAAAGCAGGTCTAAAGCAGGTCTATACTGGGACTAAACCAGGTCTATACTGGGATTAAACAGATCTATACTGGGACTAAACCAGGTCTATACTGGGATTAAACAGATCTATACTGGGACTAAACCAGGTCTATACCAGATTTACAGGGACTAAACGAAGACAGAAAACAGAGCATATTTACAAGCCAAAATATCCTTCCTCAGGCCACTACACACCTGACTCTCTGCACTTGAAAACAGATCCAAACTAGGACCAAACTAGGACCAAACCAGGACTAAAGAAGGTCTAAACTGGGAGTAAGCTCAGACTAACCAAACTTTGTGCAGCTGCTCCAGGAAAGAAACAACAAAGCACCTTCGGACCATAACTAGGTTAAGGTCTATACAAGAAACAAGAAACAAACCAGGTCTAAATCAGGAAGTAAATTAGGTGTAAACTAGGGCTAAAGTGGAACTAAACCAAGTCCATGTAATTGCTTCAGACAAAAAACAAATTCACTTAGGCCATAAAACACTTGATTGTTTGAGGTGGTGACAACAAGGTCTACACTAGGGCTACACTATAGGTCTAAACCAGGACTAAACAGGACTAAAACAGGTTCTTGCAGTTGCTTCAGGTAAGAAACAACAGAGTACGTTCTCCCTGGGGCCATAACACACCTGACTAAAAGTGTAAAGCAGGACTAAAACAGGACTAAAGCAGCACTAAAGCAGGACTAAACCAAGACTCCATTCAGGAAAATAAACCCAGCACTTTTCCCTCCCATAACATCCTCTCTCGGGGCCCTTACACACCTGACTGTCCCGATCTGTCCAAATAAAAACATGATTAGACGCTGTGATGATGGACTTATGGAGATTTGATTTAGTGACGGGAAACACGCAGCAAAATAAATCAGACACAAAGGAGCAGAGGAAAGGGAGGGGAGCTGTTTCATGACCTCCTGCTCAACTGAAGGAAAAACTTGCGTGAACTTTGGATAATTTGATTGGACTTTTGGACCATTTTGTGCAAATTTAACCAAACAGGAACTCCGTGTTTAAAGGTGTATTGTGTAACTGTTCTGGCTGGAGGGTCCACTCGCTGCTCGGCTCCATGGAGATTTTAATGCTTTGCCTGGAATGTGCTACAGTATAGTATTAGGCTTGTCTACTTCCATAAAAACAAGCACCTGACACCAACAAGCTGAGTTACAAGCTCTAAGATCTAAGGTGAGGTGACAACTTTCGCAGTAAAAAGGCATGTATTTCAAGATATTTTTGAGCAATAAAAACAACTTGAATCAAATGAATGCAAGATGAATATCTAACATGTTTGGGTATCATTAAGAAGTTGCCGATACAATACATCCCTCGATACATAGGCCACAATACGATACATATCTCGATACAGTGAGCTTTCGATTCAATACGATATATTTCAAATCGATTCGATACAGTTCAATAAAAATAAAGACTAAATCATGTCTGTGATACTAAAAGTCTTAGTTAAACCACTTTTTGTGCAAAGTTCATATGAAACACAAAATTTTATTCATCAAAACAGTGAAAATGTCAAATGTGTCGCATAAAAATGTTTCCTTCCTCTAAACAAGCAACAAAACTGTAACTGTAACAAAATAATTTAGTAAAATATTCCAAAAAGTAGTCTTGGTGATATATATCGATACAGCAGCCCACGATATCAATACTGTATCATCACATTAAGCAATACGATATATCGATATGTCAATATTTTTGCACACCCCTAATGTCTAATGCCATACTGTGGAATATTTCAGACAAAGCAACAGACCCTTGTCCAGGAATGTTCCATAGTACACCTTTAAATGCTTACAAATAGGAAATAGGGCTGCACAATATATTGCAAAGTTGGAACTTCTTTAGATAATAGAATTTCCTCTGCAAAGAAAATAGAAAATTCTTATCTTCTTGTACCTGTAGTTCAAATCTCTACAAACACGTACTGAAACACATGGGATTTTTGTATTCATTTATCAGTTCATATTTCAGTCAAACACATATGGCAATTTCAATACTTTTCTTTCTAAAATCATGCAGCCCTATTCATCATATAAGAAAGATTCAGGTTCGAATAATCTCTGACACAAAGTAAAAGAGTTAATGCTCCATTGACTCCAGATCGCAGAGAAGAAGAGGTTTAATTTGGCCGCAGCTTTGTTTGAGGCTCTACATGTGGTCAAGAATGTCGCCAATTTATTGAAATAATAGAAAGACAAAGTGGATTCAACAGGGGCCCAACTGACAGTCAACTATGAGGGAGCACCGTAGATATGTGTGGCCAATTGTATTTTTATTTATTTTCTGTTAATTCTGTATCTACTCACTAATTACCAATACTCGAGTACAGGGGTCTCCATCCTGTAGCCTGGGAGTTACCAAGAGCTCTCCACCATCTCATAGGGATTTCTGAATTATACGTACTGTGCTGAATAACTGAAAGGTGGTTAAGTAAATGC